TGGATTGGCACCATAATCAAGTAATAATTGTATCACATCCATATGACCCAAACAACAAGCTAATGCAAGTGGTAAATCATAACCTGATAAACCTGTACGAGTTGGATTACATCCATATTCAAGTAAGACAATAAGTGCTTGGATATAATGATTTAATACACACCATTGTACTAAATTATGATTTTTTCTATCACATACAAGTAATAAATCTTTACCAGGTGATAGATTATTAAGTTCATCTATGAGATCATATTCATCTTCTGGTTTTTGAACTAGAATATATTTTATTTTTTCGAATAGATGAAAGAAAAAAACGAATATTAATAAGAACACATACCTTTTATAAATAATTCTTGTATACGTTTTATTTCTTCTTCAAGTAAATCTCGGCCCAATAACCAATAACAAAAACCTGTGCCCACATCAAGTAATGATAATAATGAGTTAACAGCTATTTTCATAATAAAATTTCTGAATAAGAAAATAAATAAAAGATTAAAAGATATTATTCTCTCAGACGACTAAATCATTTTATCTATAGACACGCATTCTAAACTAGTAAATATTATTTTGCTTACATTTATCTATTATTCGTTTTCTTATGTCGTAATTATATAGTGACTTCAAACGAAAAAAAAAAAGTGAGGTAAGAGACGAGAATATAAGGATACTGACAATCGCCTCATACCACTCGTTCCAAAGTTCATATGAAAATCAAACATACAACACACACACACATTTTCTTACCCTCTCTCTGACTACGTACATTCACACGAATGTCATCTTATAATAGTATCGGCCGACCACGCAGTGAGTGTATGGGCTTTTTCTCTTTCTGTATGACTTACATTTTTCTCTCATACGTTCGTCTGTTCCCATCCTTTTTTTTTCTATCCGTCCGTTCGTCGCGTTGTTTGAACAGTGAAAAGAGTCAGTGATGGTGATGACGAATGAAGAGAGGCAACAGCTGACTTACAGAGCGATACTACTTCTTGAATCTAGGTCACGCATATTGAATATCTATGCATATAACAGAATACAAAAATTGAAGTATACACGTCTCATTTTTTGTTTTCTTCATCTATATATATATGTGTGCGTTTCAAAAAAAAAAGGTCGAATGTTATCATCTATATTAAAATTGTATGATAACAAATAGACAATAAACCTATAAGAAATAGTTAATAATATAAAATAATAACTTCTCATCTCATTTCTATTACTCACGCTTCATTTCGATAAGAAGAGAGAGAAAAAGAAAAGAATGATGAATTACTCATTCGAAAAATAGACATATTTCTATTTCACATAAACGACTTCACCTTTGATACTTAGAACATGGCATGTTTTATTCACCTATCTTGTTTATACTTTGAAAGATACTCATATCATATTCTTTATACTATTTTTAGAAATCATATATCAAATTTCTTATCATTCAGGACTAATAATACTAAAGATTTTAAATTATATATATTTTACAACACGAAAAGAAAAGCTATTTTTTACTACTTTAATATATATTATTGATGATATGACACATTTGTATACATAGCACTTAATGTATTTGAACTATTTTTATCTGTAAAGAAGATCATTAGAAGTTTATTGAATTCATCAACTGTATCTAATGTGATACGGCTTTAAAGATTTATCTTATTGATCCTAGATAATAAAATAGAAGTAAAAAGTCATAACTATTTTATCATTATGATAAAAAGGGGAAAAAATTGGTGTGTTGAATGAAGATATAAAAAATACAATCTCTTGTTATTATGCATGGTGATATACGAAAGTTCAATAATGATTTCACTATGTAATGTATTCGTTAGCTCCTTTTCAATTGATAACAAATATTTGATCAACCGATACAAATATATGTTCAAATGAATTACGATAAATATCAAAAGCTATTTACTTTTTACACTACCATTACAAATATAAGCGCCAAGTATCTTGTATATATATATATATAAATGTGAAAGAAGAAAAAGACTAATACTATACTTACAACAATGATTGTGTTGACATATGAAATCTATTTTTTATTATTGTGACCATAAATAAATACAAGATGAAAATTAGTATGTCTGGATAAATATTCAATGTCGAATGAGTTTAGTATGGTGTTGTATAAATAACAAAAGAGGGAGTAAACTTTATGCTTAGAGTTTTTAATATATATTGGACTTCTCCTTCATTGAACAGAACATATATTGTATACACGACAAATGACTAAAGAATATTTTATCAATATTAGAATATAACGAATGGCCCATAATAAATGGGTTAAAATGTGTCCCTCTTTTTAGACTCATTCAATAGAAAAATTATTGATCTTAGAATATGTTAATGTTAGAAAGTCATTTAGAAGAATACTTTCTCCAACGCTAATTACAAAAACAATGTAAAACTTGTTTATTTTTGATTTAAGACATTCCGATTTCAATGTTACGTTATTTTATTCAGAATAAAAAAACAGTTATAGCCACGACTGCTTATAGAAAAGATGAGTTTTGAAAGCACCTTTAAAATAAAATCCCACCAGGTGTTAGTTCTAAGCCTTTTGCACCTGAACTATATCGACGGGAGCCTTCAAACAAAAATATTCTCTATCAGATGAGTCTAAAATGAGAGAACTATTATGAAAATCTTTACCTTTGATGATGATTGTAGAATAATAAGATCGTGATAAAGCAGAGTTCAATAGATAATAGTCTGTTAATGTTTTAAGCCATTATGAACATATAACAAATGTAAATATATGTGAAAATAGATAAGTATAACAATTGATATTGTGACATTAATATGTCCTGCTGATGTGTTATATAAAATGTTACAGAATACTGTTTTATGTTATTATCTTATGTATGACTAATGAATGTCTGTTTCTCAGCTTGATAGAAACTGAATATCAACAGTAAATTATGATATACCTATTATTAATCGTGCTAGAAAATCATAAATCTTTCTATATGAATATATATATATTATAGGTGTGACTACAAACATGATTCAATATAGATTTTACAATGTAAATCAGAATTGAAAACAAGAATGAAATAAAATATTATATTTTATATGAGTTTTCGGCTCGATCATTAACGTAAATAAAAGTTAAGTGACATGACAAGCAAAAAATTTCTGTTTGTTTATTCTAAACATAAGTAAATCATTTGATATAAGTGAAGGAAAAATATTTAAAATAAGGATTATTTTCATGTAGACTAATGCATCATCATACATATATATATACAAGTAGGAGTCAATGATTTTGGTTATATTTTAATGACATGTATGGATTATTTATAGTATTTTATTAGTATTTTCTGTTACTTTTATAGTATATCTGATATTTTGCTTTTGAAGAAACTAGTGTACTATCTGGAAAAACAATAAAGAATCTGATTATTTCTTTTTGTTTATATAGACATTATCTTAAAGTTTTATTGTAATTAAATCATTCATTTCATACTTTTATTTCTATTCAATATTAAGAATAATATATAAAATAATAGTCGTACACTCTTTGTATACGTTTTCTTTATTGGCTTTCATCTAATTCAATTTTCATGAATCTATCTATCTATTTTTAGCTGATATTGATATCATTATTCATATACATACATGGTGTCAGATAGTTGACATGCTTTTCGGTATTTTCTTTCTCTAAAAATTATACTAGTTGATTATAGCATGTGGAGGCTTATTCCATTATCTTGCAAAATCTCATAGATATGTCTTGTTGATTGATCATTGGTAAAATGATTAGCAAACTTTAAAAGAAAAACCAAGAATTATCTTTTATTTAAGATCTTATCATCCATAGAACGTATGCATATATATATATATATTCAAACTGATTTATTTTTTATATAAAATTTTGTTTGATATTATTATTTTTTATCGATACGTTACATGGTAAAATACTTTTATGACACTAGCTATCGATCTCATTTTCTATATTCTTAACAATTCTTATGCTTTTCATGAGCTCTACAAATAATTTTTTTCCAGTTAGTTATGGCAGCTGCCGGTCTATATATGTATGCAAACGATCCAAAGCAAGAAAGAAACAAATTACCATGGCTATAACTGTTGTTGTCTATTCTAATCATCAATGGCGTACGCTACCACATTTAGAGAAAAAATATCATTCGTAAGCTATGGTATAGTATCTTGATTGTACAACAATTCTCATTTATCCGTTAGCTCGTCCGTTCGTTCGTTCTTACTACAATATTAGAAAATAGAGAGACCGCTTGTACGTCATTTGTTTGTCTACAGATATGTTGTATATAAGGAAGAATATCTTACATTAAGTAAAGAACCACATACTTTTTCTCTTTGCTAAGAGAAGCGCATTTGTCTGTATGATGTATGACTTTGTTATGTTTACAGCAAGTCTAAAAAATGGGTGTTATAGTACAATGATTTGTAGCATATATATATATATATATATATATATGCTATATGTATGTATATCGGAGAATCGAAATCAATCATTGACTGATCAACTGATTCAAGTGGTGAGTGATTCAGTAAGAAGATTTGTAAAAAGAAGAAAAGATAGAGACAAGAAAATATGGATGAATAATGTCCATATTGTTCTATGTTGTATTTTCTCTATCCCTATCGCCCTCTCTCTCTCTCTCTGTCTCTCTAGTGACAGTCAAATGATTAACCATCTTCCAGTAAAGCGCAATGTTTTCTGTTGCTCTAAGAAGCCGAGAGTAGAATGGATAGAAGAGGCCCTAATAACTTTTCTAGAATATTCTGGACGGTGTGTGAAATATACAGACAAAAATTTCCTTTGTTGTCTTTCTATTAATGTGTAGATTCATTGCATTAGAAATGAATTTACTCATATACAGACATATGTACGGATATATATATACGTATATATATATATTAACCTATTTATCTATTGATTTTAGATTTATTTCATTCCTAGCTACTTATTATCTTTATAAAAGTAAACAGGCAAATCAAATTTTATTATGCCTCGTGACAATATTCCGAAAAGTTCAGTAAAGAAACTTCAACAATTCTTTACTAAAACACTCGGTAAATAAATTATAATTAATTATATGACAATCTTTATTTTTCTTTTTTACTTGTTCGTTCTTAGATACAAACAATGATGGCCTTGTCAATTGGACAGATTTCGAGGCTGCTATTGAGGTATGTTATATTAATAGAATTCTAGAATACTATTTAATATACTTTCTTTTTTAATAAATAGTCAATTGTATCACAAGAGGATGCTCAAAAGAATGCTCGTTTGAAAGTTTTACGTAAACGTCTTGAACAACATTTTCAAAAATATTTCTGGGATTTATGTGCCGTTGGTGATGCTAATAATGATGGAAATATTGATTTAGGTATAATAATTTTCTTTTTTTTATTATTCTTTATAATCTTTTCTTTTCTTTTTTTTGTTGATTTTATTTTATAGACGAATGGCTTGATGTTATGAATGATATTATCAGTGGTTTAAAAGAAAAAAATGAATTTCCCGAATGGTATGAAGGTTTACATAAAGCTTTATTTCGTGCTAATGAATTTTTAGGTAATTAAACTAAATTATTCATAATGATAATTGTACTAATCTCGTCTTTCTTATTTATTTATTTATCTATAGATGAACGAGCAGTATCAAAAGATGAATTTGCTAATATGCTCATTTCATGGGATATTGATGAATCAAGTGCTGAAAAAGCTTATGATTTCATTACTGAACATGGTCAAAAGAAAATGGATTGTAAGTACATTTCAATAATAATAAAAAAGAATGTACATATTTAATAAAAATTCCTTGTTTTTAGATAATCTTTTCTCGGAATTTATGAAAAAATTCTTTCTTAATGAAACACCAAAACACCCATTAAATCTTGGTCTTGATTAAATATTTCAATAAATAGTTTTTTTTATCCTTTCACTTTTTTTCACTTTTGCACCTGAATTACCTATTATATTATATAATACTTATTTACTAATGCTTCAATTTGTGTGTTTTTAAAATAAAGAATTACGCATCTTTTCTAAATTAATATACATATTCAGTGGCAAATATATATATCTATATATACTCTTGTATTTATTATATATCGAGATCAGACAAGAAAAATAGTGAGAAGATAACGGAAGAACAATACTGTATAAAAAAGAAGAAGAAGAAGAAGATGAAGAAAGGAAATGAATATACATTTAGATAAAGTATTATTGACTAACGAGGACCACCATTCATTTGTTTAGAAGGTTTAGTATGTTGTTGAAGCGTTGATTCATATCGATTACGCATTTCTGAAAGACGCGTCCAATATTGTAATTCTAAACTATTGTGCATTTCTTGAACTTGTTGAGCTAAATAAAATGAAAAAATGATATAGATTCCAGATAAATATATATCTTACTTGTTATTGTACGTAATTCATTCATTGACATACGATATGTTCGACGTGTTTCTTCTAATTCTTTTTCATATTTGACTCGATTTGATTCAAGGGCTGTTTCAATTTTAACAGTAAAATCAGTTAATAATTGTTGAAACTAAAAAAAGACAATTAAATATATGAATTAAATAATTCAATTATTTTACTTTATCATTAAAACTTTTTATGATTATCTGTATTTCACCTGGTGTTTGAATACTATATCAAAAATAAGATAAAATTAGATTTTAATGAAGAATATTAAACTAACTCTTCGATTGGTGGTCGAATTAGATGATTATTAAATTGTGGCATCTAAATAGAAATGAATGAATATTAGTTCAAATAAAATTATTTAGAGAAAAAAACAAAAAGCATTCGGAAAAATTTGTATGAAGATATTGCGAAACATTGAATATACTACAACAAAATTGTAATATAACCTTTTAATTAACATGTAGAATATTCTGAAAAGGTAAATTTGAGATTTTTGTTTTTGAGAATGTAACTTACTCGTACAGGATTTCGATTTGGAAGTGGTGGAGTATTCGAAGGTAAAGATGGATGAGGTATACCATTCGGTCTACGTTGTACTGGTGTATTAACAGAAAATACATCAAACGATTGTGGTTGTAAAGATGTCGGAGGAGTTATTCTTGTTTTTGAAGGATTATTATTATTACTATTGCGTTGTGCAGTCGGTGGATATAATGGTGGAGCAGGTCGTTTATGTGCTGTATTTGGTGGTTGTCGTGTTGAAGAAGACATCGGTAAAGGTGGTGTTGGCCAATTTGGTTTTTGTGAAGCTGTTGATGATGTTCGTGGTGCAAATGTATTATTACTATTTGGTATCATTGCTGGAAAATGAGAATTGGAAGTTGTAGTAAGTGGAGGAATAGGTGTTTTAGTTTTATGATGATGATGTGTATTCGCTGGTGGAGATATTAAAAAAGATTTTGTTGACATAGTTGATGAACTTGGTGTCGATGATTGAGTAGATGGTATCGGTTGAATAACTCGACTTTTTTTATGTTCTTCATTATCGATAGGTTCAGATTTGACACTAAGAGTTTCAATAGATTTTGTTCTTTCTAATGGTTGATGTTGTGTTATTAAATCATCAATTGTTGAAGTTGCAATATCTTCAAAAATATCAGCACTAAAAAAGAAACAAGATGGTTAATAAATCATAACAAAGAATTCAAATTAACCTCGCAGGACTTATTGATAATGGTCTTAATGGCATATTTGCTGGTGTTGGAGAAAGTGATTGTTCATTTATATGTTGTTCAAAAGATGGAAGAGATACATTCGTAGTTGGTGGTGGTAGTGGTAATGGTTTTGGTTGAGATGTTATTATACGATGTTGTAAACGAGATTTTCTTGGTTGTTTTGTCGTTGTACGTCTTTCAGCAAATTGAAGTTGTACTGGTCGAGATTCATTTGTCGATGACGTTGTTGTGGTTAATAAGGATTCATTAGTACGAACTTCAGATATTGATTTAAGTGCATCAACAGCATCGAGTAAAGCATTCATTGATAATCTGACATCTTCTGCATTTGGATCAATATATTCATTAATTAATGTATAACTTTGAAGTTTAGTATCTGAGGAAGGAGAACATATTTGATTTTTAGGTGATACACATGACATTCTAAAAAAAATGAATTTATTTTTTAAAAAAAAACCATTGATATATCTTACTCATCGTCGTTTTTCGATGGATCTGATGTTTGATCAAATATTTCAAAAACATTTATTAATTGAGATTCCGTTTGTTCTTCTTCATCTTCTTTTAATGCTAATAATGGTTCTTTTATTTGAATAGTTAATGGATGATTACTACTACAATTTGATGTTTCACTTCGACCACTTGATAAATCTTCACTAGGTTTTCGTATTCGTAATACAATTCTATTTGAATTTGTATTAGTATCATCAGTAGTTCGAGATGAAACTCGTGCTCGTTTAACTGATTCCTGTTGTTCCTGAGAATTTTCATTTGAACGTTTAGTTGCTGTTTTAGTATTTATAGCTGATTCAGTTGTTGGTTGTAATGTAGGAGAACGTGCTTGTTTTACACACTTGACAGATGAACGAAGTGTATTATTATTATTTCCAATCGTCATATACGTAGGTGGAATTGAATCTATATAAATATTATACATTTATCTCAAAAATAGATTAAGAAATTCATACCGTCAATGATTGAAACGAATTTAAACGGTTTCACTTTACTAAGTGGTGTTTGTAATGGTGCATAATTAAAATGTCCATATATTGTTTTTAATTTATCAATATGACTTTGTAATTCTGTAAGACTTTTTTCAAAATTAACATTCGTTTTCTTCTTTTCTAAACCTGGATATTCTTTTGAAAGAATAAAACAATTATTAATGGATACCCATGCTCTAAAATTGATAAAAATATAATAATATATAGTGTCATTATCGAAATTTTTTACCTATCATGTTGACCAAAAAAACGAACATCAACTTCATCAGAAACAACACGTAGGACTTTAGCTGGCCATGGTTGATAACCTTTCATTTTAGCCCAACATAATGTATGTGGAATTTTACATGGTTCAGCAAACCAATCTGTTGATAATGGTTGAGCACTACGTAAATAACATTCTGAACATATTTCAATTTCTATCATTTCATGACGAGCAATTTTTAAGAGTGCACGTGCCACAGCAGTAAATTTACTTTGACCTTGAAAAAGAAAAATAGTCATCGATGAGTATTCTTAATTACAAAATAAAGACAACTTGCTTCCATTGAAAACAACACTATTATGTGTTATCCATTTTACATCAGCAATAAATGCATCAGTAGATGTATATTTTTTTAAATCAATGTTTTTGTCAATTGTTTCTAAATCCATTGGATGAATTATATAATCAAGATATTCAGGCATTTGTTTTGAATCAACAGGACGCATAAATGGGGTAGCCTTTATACAATAATAAAATGATATATTTAAATTTCTTTTTAAGAAATCTTACTTGTGGATGAGATTTCATTCGACGAACAGCATATTTTAACATAGTATGAAATTCATTCATTGAATGATTCGTTATATTAAATGGCGATTGAGTAATCTTGAAAAACAACAAAATTCTCATATAGAAATAGAATTTTTCTAATACATACTTTGCATTCGGGACATGTCCAATCACCATCAGGTAATGTTGTCAAACTAAGACATTTTGGATGATATACACGTGGACATGAGTCACAACAAATAACATCACCTTCATCATGACATTCAAAACAATATAAATCATTATGATCATCCTTCAAAAAAAAAAATAAAACCGTTATATCTTAATCACTGAAAGAATTTTAATTTGATTCTAACCTCATTTGTTGTTTTCCTTAATTTTACGGGTGGAATATAATCAGCATCTGCTTCCATTTGATTATTCGTAGCAGAAGCCATTATTAATTATATATTTATTTTTGAATCTATAAAAGAGTAAATGATTAATAAAAAGCGCGTTCTTTCTACCATTAGATCGAATTAATTTGGCGCTAAACTAGGATTTTCCCGACTGTTCAATTACTAGAAAACATCCCATTATTGATAATTTAACTAGGAGAAAAAAAATAAGCTTTTTCATTCTCAGTAAACATTCAATAAATCCGAACAAAGTAAACATAGACTAATAATAAACGAATAAAAAAAGAAAAAGAAAAAATATATAAATCCGTTGTGAACTTTTGTTTATTTCTCAATTAATGATAATTCTACTGGACTGCACTATACACAAAGAGAGAGAGGGCAACAAGTAGATGGACGAATTGTATTGATGGACGAGCAATAATAGGAAGACGAGCACCGAACGAAGAAAAAAAACAACAGTGTATGCAAAAAAAAAACATCTACATTGCAATTCTATGTTGCCGTGCACACGTTCGTTGAGAGAACGATAAAAATCTTACCTTTATACGAAGGTTCAAAATAAATAGTAAGCAATACAATTATTCAAATAACATTTTGCACAAAAAAAAAAATTTATGAACATTTTATGACCTTAATATAATTGATTTATGAGAAAGGAAAAAAAATCAGATTGTAGTGATAAATAATAATATCTATGAAATGGAATTAAATATTCATAGAGTCAAATTTCAATTACAACAAGCTGATATTTCTACTTGTCCGAAATCTAAGAAAATGATGGCACTCAACAATATCTTTCATACAGAATTTTACTTTCTGCACGAACTATTTAAAAAAAATTGGGTTTAACATATTTTCATTCTTTAAAATTTCATCTTCAGCGTAAATTCATTCTTTAATCTAATAAATATCATATGATTTCTTTTTTATCAATAATGATGAAGTCTTACGCAATAATCTGATATTCTTTCTTTCTCTCTTAAGAGTATCTTCCAAACCTTTTTTTATTTTATATTGAATAGATAATAATAAATTTTCAAGGTTAAAATTTTTAAACTTAATATTTGTCTAATACATCAATGATAAACATATTTCTATTACCGTTTTGTTTTGACAATAGTCGTTATGCATTTCATTTTTATTCATTATATTACTTTTAACTGTTTCTCATTGAATTAAGATTTATCCAATAATAATTCAAGTCGCTCTATATTAATGAAATATATAATCAATTGAATTTTTTTTCATTTTACTTTTTGTTTTTCATAGATTTTTTATTATTAAAAACAATTCATTTTGATATCACATAGAAATATTTCATCTAATCAGATCTATTAAGCGTGACAAGTGACCTCGAAAGATAATGAGAGAATTTCAATATGGCGTCTCTAATCTTCGTCGTGCTTTTTATATTAATATACGTAAACGTATACTAATAAAAGAAAATTAATTAAGACCTTGAGCTATTTGAACATATTTATTTCATAATAAAACTATTTTATATAAATTTTATCCGAATATTCACCAGAGGTCGACACTAGTATTTGTCAAATTATTGTTGTTGTTGTTGTTGTTGTTATTATTTTACGATAGAGAAAAAAAAGTAAACAAAGAAATGGTGATCAGTTTTTAGAACAGTACGTATATGACCACGACTTTTCAAAGATATCTCGTGGGATTTCATCTTTCCAATATATTCGACAATTATCGTCGAAATGTTTCAGGTTAATAAAACAGAATAGGAGAAGAAGAAAAAAGAAGAATTAAAACTCTTTTTTTGTTTTATTTATAATACATATAGAACAGTACATCTATTCAATCAGGGATTTGTTCAAAACAATTTGAAGATGATCGGTAAGAAATTAAATTTACAAAAAAAAATTATTTATTTATTTATTTTTTAGATTTACTGATGAATCATCTTCACAAGATTTTTTTACTTCATCAAATAGAAAATTATCCGATGATCAATCGGATTTTGTATCAATTAATTGTAAGAGAGAATTTTAATAAAAAAAAGACAAAATAATAAATTTCTTTTTCTTTAGTTGATTCAGAAATCAATTGCAATAATTGTATGACAGATGTTAATGATCTATTTTGTGATAAAGATACATTTTTACCATGTCTTGAACCAGAAGTATGTTATTAAAATTTTAAATATTGAATTGAAATTTTTACTTTTTTCAGACATTTATTCCATCGAAACCGGTGATTACATCGACTCGAGGTGGACGTATTAATAGTAAATATGGTAAAGGCAAACCAGCTCAAGCTTATATTAATTCTGATATAATTAATCGAAAACGTGTTCGACGTGTATGAATAAATTATAGGAAAAATAAAAACTCCCTATTTATAAATAATCTATAGGCTTCTCGTCGTCGTCATCGATTAAGTTCAGATTCTCCAACACCGACAAATTCAATAAGTCCACAATCACATTCATCAAATTCTGATAATACACAAACTGTGCAATGTCATCGAACATTATCAAGTTCACGTGGAAGACCAATTAAAATACGAAAAGATGATTATAGTACAACAATAACAGCGGCGACGACAACATTCCATGTATATATCAATTTCTAATTCTTGGATGAGTAATAACTTCTTTTTTTTCTCGTTCACTCAGGAAAATTTATCTTCTCAACAAGAAACCGTAAAAGAAGATGAAGAACATCATTCAGTAACTGTTCTATGTGCTTCAAATGAAGTTTATGCTGTTTCACAAGTATAAAAAAAACCTATTGAATTTATTTATATCCTTAATTTTCTTAATAGGATATGTGTGTTAGTTGTGGAAGTATTGGTTTAGATGATGAAGGTCGTCTTATATCATGTTCTCAATGTGGACAAAGTTATCATCCATATTGTGTTGGATTTACAAAAATGGTTTGTTAATTATTCTTCTTTAATATATAAATCGAAACTAAAATATTCTTATTTAGATTTCCAAAGTTTTATTTGATAAAGGTTGGCGTTGTCTTGATTGTACTGTATGTGAATGTTGTGGTAAAACAACAGATGAAGGAAAACTTTTATTATGTGATGACTGTGATATATCATATCATACATACTGTCTTACACCACCACTTGATCAAGTACCAAAAGGAAATTGGAAATGTCAATGGTAAATATTTTTATCTTATAGTACGAACTAAAAAAAGAACAGTATTTATTATTGTAATTGAACGATTTTGACTGAGCAATGACTGATTTTTGTCATGAAATAATCGATTGACATATTTTATCGTTCAAATAGAGACCTATAATAAAAATCATTCATATTGAACACTTTTAAAATGTCTTTTTCTTTGATACCAATTATAGGTGTGTTCATTGTTTAAAATGTGGTTCAACAAGTCCAGGTATTGATTGTCAATGGGAAAATAATTATACTGAATGTGGTCAATGTTATTCATTAAGTACATGTCCATTATGTTTACGTAAATATTGTTTAGATGAATTAATAATACAATGTATGAATTGTAATCGTTGGTGTCATAGCATGTGTGCAAATATCTTTACTGAAGAAATGGCAGCTAAAAAATGTAATGAACAATCATTTATATGTCTTTTATGTAAACCAGATCAATCAACATTAACATTAATGAGACATTCATCAACCAATTCAATAAATGAACAACAAATTTTACAAGCTAAATCAGTTAAATTTGATGAAGGTGTTTATTTAACAGAGAATGGTATTGCACATTTAAAATCTATTCGACCAAAAACATTAACACATCCATCAAGAAAATCAAAACAAATGATACAAAAAAATCAAAATTTATTTAAGCGAATGAATTCAACATTAACTAATGATGATGAACGTTCCGATGAAGATAAAAATCATTTGATAAATGAACAACAAATTAAAAAACCTTCAATTAAAAAATATACAGGTATTGGTGGATTTATTGTTAAAATACGTGGTAATCGTCGTCGCCAAGATTTACTTCATATGGATAGTGAATTATTACGAACAAAAAATAAACGTTTACGAAAAACTATACTTGAAGAACATATGCCACCTGAAATGCAGGTAAATGAAATTGATTTATTTAATAAATTTTCTTAGGAAATTGATTTTATTTTAGGAAGCTTTTTTTGGTATGGATTTAGCTAATCAAAATCAAGCAAAAAATCCACTGAAAGATGATTTATCTTGTGATAAAGAATCAATAATGAATTTAAAATATTTAAATAATGAATATTCAATTCAACTTGATTCTGATACAATTAAATATTTAACAACAAAGAAAAAATCACTTTTATCTGTAACAAATGATGAAGAAAATGAAATGCGTAAGAAATAGAAAAGAAAATTATTATTTTAATATATAATTTTGTTTTCTAGAACCAATATTTGGTAATGAAGAATTTATTGATTTAGTAGATTATATACTTAATCCAGCTCCAAATCCACCATGTAAAATTTTGAATTTATTTTTATTGAAATATCTTGTTCTTTTAAAGGTAATTCTTCAGGTGATATTTGGGAATTTATTGAATTTGTTGATCAACCAAATCAAAATGATAATTCATCAGGTAATTTCATTGAAAAAAGATGTTAAGAAAAGAATTGAAATAATTTTGTTTTTCCTCAGTTATGGATTGGCCAAATAATAGTATTTATCAAACAAATAATCCTAATCAAATCATTCGTAATATGGCACGAGAATTAGAAGAATCAACAGTTGGTCCATTACAAAATACTCTTCTTTCGCAAACAAATAAAAATATTCTCCGTCATGAGTAATCTTTTAATTTTATAAGTCTTAAAGTATTAAACTATAATTTAGTTGTATGCCATGGTTATCATCCTCGCATATAAATCAATCATCATTAGTCAATAATAATTATTCGTGCCCTGATGGACGATCATTATCAGCAGGTAAATAAAATTTTTGTAAAAAAAGAAAAATATATTCTTTCATTTTATATTTTTAGTTCAATCACCTGAATTCAATCGTTCAACTAATGATATTAAACGTAATCAAACATCATTAGGAATTGATGAATCCTATCATTTATTTCAAGTATATCAGCATCAACAACAACAAATACAAGCAGATAATTTACAAAAATCAATAATTATTGATAAACAACAATGTTTAACATCAACACATTATCCACAAAATGGTCTTCAACATTCAACATCTTATCAACAACATTCCGTATGAAGATTTTATTTATTTATTTAATTAATAAAATATTTTTTTATTTTTAGTTACCACCACTTGATCTTCAATCATCATTCGGTAAAGATCCTTCAGCTTTATTTCTAACAAAAACTAATAAACATCAAACTAAAACATTGCCTTGTAAATAATTAATTCTTTTTTATTCAATTAAATTTCTTCTCTTTCCTTTTTTAATTCTTTCTACAAAAGATTCAACTTATAATAATTCTTCTGATGTAATTCAACAATATCATTCTCAACCGCCACCACCACCACCTATGAGATCAACATCTTGTTATAGTGTATTACCATCAACAAACCTACAACGAACAAATTCAAATATTGATACATCATTTTCGGAACCAAACATAATTACAAATGGAAAAAAATCGACTCCACGTGTTGATATATTACAAAGTATTGTTCATTGAATACTCCTCTTGTTTCTTTGCTAATGTATATTATGTTTAGATGTACCAATTGATGTTCTTGAAAAAATAGATGAAGTTATTTCAAGTGTTATATCTGGTCAAGGTGATATTCCAATTGAATCTGATCATACACGTCAACGTTATCAATCACGTTTATCATATACAGAACAACATAATGTTATCTGTGATTCATCTTATATGCCATTAAATCAAGAGAATTTATCAAAACAACAATATGATTATTTTCCACCACCATCATCATCATCATCAACATCTCATGAAGCAGGACGTACTGCTGTAGCTGAACTTATTTCATCGATATTATCTAATGGTGCATCATCATCAACAACAATGTGATTTATTTTCTTCCGGTTTTGTTTTTTTTTTCTTTCGTTTTTTGCTCTTGTGGTGCTCTTATTAATTGCATTTTGTTTACTCTCAGTATTGAGCCAATGCAATCAACGTCCGGTTGTGAACAAGTATAAGCAGTAGACTTTCATGTGTTATACTTCTTTTTTCCTTTTCATTTTCTTGTGATTTAAGTTATCATTGTTTTTTCTTTTTTTTTTGTTTGTTTGTCTTCCAGTATTATTAAGCATTGAAAAATTCAACTTCCAGGGATTTATTTGAAAAAAAAATTGAAACCACGAAACAGATTGTTTGTTTGTGTGTATTCTTGTTGTTTTATGTTGTTTGATGAAAAAAAAATGTAGATAATAACATTTTTTTTCCTTTGTTTTGTCTTTTATTTTACATTATTTTAGATGTATATCTTCTGCTGATATCAGCACGAACAGTATTGTTTTGTATATGTATATGTTTAATGATACGTTTAAAATTAATTTGTCGAATGGTAGTCGACAATGAATGATCCAGTATCAGCAGCACCACCACCACCTCCAACTAAACTTGATATTAAAACAGATAATGTTTATACAACAGATGGAACAACACAACATATGCGATCGGTAACAACAACAGGAAATAATGTTACAATTATCAATACACCACGTACACCTACTGATGCACGACTTTATCATCCATCAATGATACGAACAACAAGTGTTGATAATTCAAATAATCCTTCGAAATCTATGTATGAATTTAATAGCGCAACGGTTTTTTTATTATACAATGTTTTTTTTTCATTTTAGGACAATCGTTGTTCAAAATCCTTTTGATGATCCTGTACGACATATTGAAGATGTATGAATAATTTAATAGCTTTAATAAATTGATAAGCATTTCTTTTTTCTCCGATTTTTAGCCGTCGAATGATCCATCAAATACGGGTAAATATCTTCTTCATTCACCATCACCATCAAAACAACATAATATAAGTAATGTACAATCACCACGTACAATATCTCGAACTCCTACACCTGGTACTCCACATCAAATTTCTGATGATGTATCAATGTCATCACCATCAATATCTACCAATCTACAACGTCATCCTTCTCAACAAATACGTCCACAACAATCATCTAACAATGGTACCTTGACAAATCTATCAACAGCACGAAATATTGTTCCACAACCACAACCATCGCAACAACAACAAAATCAATCTGTTCAACATCAAGTTCGATTCAATCAAGATCTATTACTTAATTATGGTATTAATGTTCCAATGACAAGACAATCATCTCAACCAGGAACAAATGAAACACCACAATCTCCACCTAATTCAACTTCAATTACATCACTTATACCACTACCATCTCCATTACCTAATAATTTAGGCGTTAATATGCATCATATGAATCAAGCATCTATAACACCAACAATACTTGGTGGATTTCCTTTACATCAATCATCATCTCAATCAACAAGTACGAATAATAATTTTATTTCTCCACAACAAATAAATGTACAAAATAAATTAGACAATCCACATACAATTTCACAACATGGATCACATCATCCACTTTCTTCTGCGACTCATCATACATCAACTGGTATCTATGTTAATACTCGTCCAATGCTTTCATCACCAGTAACAAATGTTACTAGTATTAATAAAGGTAAACAACAACCACCACAACAACAACAAATAAGACCGGGTATGCCAATAAATGGAGCACCTACAGGTCCATCAGCTGTTGTCTTGCGTTATCAACCAATGATACCAACATCTCAACAACCACAACAACATAATTATCAAATGATGAAATCACGAATGATGCCACCAAATGCATTTGGACAACGTGGACCTCCTCCACAACAACCGTCTCAATTGATTATGCAACAACAACAACAGCCTATTATTTATGATCCTAATACTCTCTATCGAACACAACCTCAACCTCCACCGCCACAACAACAACAACAACAACAACAACAAGTTCAGCAGTCGCAACAACAGCAGCAACAACTTCTAACACCACTTCAATCAAATCCACATATGAATGATAGTCTTATAAATCAACAAAAACATCAACATCAACAATCAATGCCACAACAAGTTCTTCATTTACCACCAGGTGTACTTGCTACAGATGATAATATTCTTAAATCTCTATTACAAATTAATCCTCAAGCGGTAAGTGTTTTTATTTTAAAAGAAAAAAAACGAATTAGATTTTTAATTATTTATTTTTTCATAAAGAATTCTGAAGAAATTGCTGCTACTGCTGCTGCATTACAAGCACGAAATAGTAGTAATACAATGTCAAATGGTATTTCTACTGATAATAATGATCCATATGACAATTCACAAATGAATATTCATGATAATCCATCACATAATTACTCTAATAGTCATATTCATTTATATAGTCCATCTATTAATACTCAATCACATCCAAATCCTCCAACATCAACAGTTCCAAATGTAAAAATTCCTAAACCACGTAAAAAACGTAAACCTAATGATTTAAGTACATCATTTGAAGATGATATACCACCAAAAGTACGAAAACGTAAAAGTATGTTTTGAAAACTTATTTTATTTTTTTCAAAAATAAAAAACAATTTTTTATTTAGAAAAAGGTACAGAAGAAACAGAAAAATTTGTTGAACATTCATTACAACAATTACGTGATTTACCTATGTTAACACCACTTGAACCATCTATTGATATTAATAATGAATTATCATTATCTTTACCAATTGATGTACCTGAAAAGAAATATTCATATCAAGGTGAATTTGGTCATGCTTTTGTTGAAAATATCAATGATTATTATCGACCACATCGACGACCACCTCTAAAACCTATACCTTCAACGATCGGTAAGTCTGAATTTGTTTTAGTTCTTACGCTAATAAATTTTATTTTCTATTAGCTACAAATCCTTTATCAGCACTTGAACGACGTTATCGTATATGTTCCACACTTCTTGATCATCCTCCAAGTTTGCCATCGCCACCTTTAATTATTGATTCAAATGATAAACTATCTAATTTATTAATCAAAGAAGAAATCAATGATATACGTGATGATGAAAGTATTATATCAACATCAACGATAGCTGATGATGATGATAATATATTAAATAATATTCAAACAGAAAATGCAAAATTACTTAAAACATTATCATCTAATCATGATTTAAGATCTTTAAGTCCTGTATTAATATCGAATGATATGTTAACAACAAAGAACAGTGAATTATTACCAACATCTTCAACAGCAATATCAACCGTAGATATTAAAAAAGAACCTAATGATACACCAGTAACAAGTGCACCACCAGGTGGAAATGAACTTGAAAAGAAAGATCGACCACTTGTTGAAGGAACTGATAAGGTAATTAATTATTTTCTAATCTATTTATGAAGTTAAAATTCGAAGGTATCTTGAGTCACTCGAAAGCAATCAGAATCAGTGTTTGATATACTAGAAGAAATTTAAAATAAACGATATTAGTCACGTTTATCTTTATTTATGTTTTGAGTCATTTGGATTTCATCTATGTATGAATTCCATATAGTCAGTAGGATTACTTGAAGTCAGTTATTTTCTTCTTATAATAATTTATTTTATTTTACGTATAAATTAGGTATCGGTTACATTAACGTTAACAACTGAAGCAGCAAATAATGTTCAAAGTGTTATAGCTGCTGTTGCTGATTTACTTAAAATAGCTTATCCATCAACATTTGATGTTCGTCAAACATTAAATAATAATAATTCAAATGTTCATTATTCTTCTTCAACATTTGATCAAAATTGTTCATGTTCGACAACATTAAATAATAATCATTCAAATCATTTTTTATCATCATCATCATCAACATTACCTCAACTACCAGCAATAAGTCGTGGTTCATCAATATATAAAGTTGGTCGAGAAACAAGTGTTAGTATTCAATCATTAATTGAAATGCAACCAAAATATTGTCGTAATTGTACACAACGTTTAACATCAGATAATTTATTTAAAAAACGTTTAACTGAATTACCATCAGCTGTAAGAGAATTAATACCTAATTCAGAACCATTTGTTTATTTTTGTAATGAACAATGTTTTAATACTTGTCTATCGAACACACATAATCAACAACAACAGCAGCTACAGCAACAACAACAAGCATTAACAATAAATACTTCAGTCAATAATTCACCTACAATTAAAAATGAATCTATGGATGCAACGTCACCACCATGTACACCTAATGATTTAAATGATTCACCGAATGGACGACCAAGACGTTTATCACTTAAACGACGACATGATACTCTTAATAAACCTAATGGTGATAAGCGATGGAAAGATATGCGATGGAAACGATGGGATCCAAGTGTAACATTAAAAACTGTTATACGACCATCAAATACAAATGAAATTGAACAATTAATATCTGATATGAAAATACCATTATTATCAAATGCTACACAAGATAAACGAATTTGTGCTTTTTGTAATGGTATTGGTGATATGACTACGAATGGACCTGGAAGGTATATACAGAGAGAAAAATTTTCTTTTTCTGATAAATATCTTTTTTCTATCGGTTTAGATTGCTTAATCTTGATGTGGGTCAATGGTGCCATTTAAATTGTGCTTTATGGTCTGCAGAAGTCTATGAGACAGTTAGTGGTGCATTAATGTTAGTTGAACAAGCATATAAACGTTCAATTAATACAGAATGTGCATCATGTAAACAAAAAGGTGCCAGTTTAACATGTTTTTTTCAACGTTGTCCAAATACCTATCATTTTCCATGTGCTGTCAATAATGGTTGTGTTTTTTATAAGAATAAAGTAAGAGAAAAACAAAATTGATTTATTTATTATAAATATATTTTATTTTTTTAAAGACGATTATGTGTCCAGTTCATGCTTCTCGAACAACTGCTATAGATCAAATACTTGACGATAAATCAGTTTTTCGAAAAGTTTGGATTAATAGAGATGAAGTTAAACAAATTCAGAAGTAAATATTTAATTCATTTTTATAATTATTATTCATAAAATCATTTTTTTAGTTATATGACTGAAGAACATGAAGAAACATCATATACACTCCGTATCGGTAGTCTTGTTCTACATAATGTCGGTCAACTGTTGCCTCATCAATTACAATCAGCTGTATTTCATAATCGAAATTTTATTTATCCTGTATGTTATTTTTATTCATATATTTTTCATTGAATTCATCAATAAATTTAGGTTGGTTATACTATCACACGATTTTATTGGTCTATGAATCGTCCAAATCGTCGTTGTGCTTATCACTGTTCAATAATTGATATGGATAATAAACCAATGTTTCGAATACGTACACAAGAGAACCTAGATGAACCAGCACAAGAATTTCTTGAATCTACGCCTAAAGCTGTTTGGCATAAAATTGTTGATGAAATTGATTCATTAAGAAGACGACATGGTCTTGTAAAAATGTTTTCAATATTTGTCAGTGGTGAAGATTTATATGGATTAACTGTAAATAAATTGAAATTTGAATAAAAATAAAAACAATATTTTTTTTAATTTTAGGAACCACATATAATACGTCTAATTGAATCACTACCGGGAGTTGAAATGTTACAAAATTATGCATTTAAATATGGTCGATTACAATTACTCGATATGCCATTAACATTAAATCCAACAGGTTGTGCAAGAAGTGAACCCAAATTACAAACTCATTTTCGACGGTAAGAAGACTTTTTTTATATAAATTTTTATTAAATATATTATTTTAGACATGCACAAACATTGACAAGTTCACATTCAACACGAAGTGCTTTGCCACGAACTGTACTTGGAGTTGAAGGTAAAGAAAATTAAATATAAAAAATGATTTAAATTAATATTTTTTGCTAGGTACACAAATTCCTTATGTAAAACATTTTGTTTTATCAAAATCAACTCAATATCGAAAGCTAAAAATTGAATGGCGTCAAAATGTATTTCTTGCTAAATCACGTATTCAAGTAAGTAGAATTTATTGATGATATACGATATTTGCTATTCATTCTATATATATATTTGATTATCTTAGGGCTTGGGTTTATTTGCTGGACGTGATCTTGAAAAACATACAATGGTTATTGAATATATTGGTGAATTAATTCGTAATGAAGTTGCTAATAAACGTGAAAAATTATATGAACAACAGAATCGTGGAATTTATATGTTTCGATTAGATGAAGAATATGTTGTTGATGCAACTATGAGTGGTTGTTTAGCTCGTTATATAAATCATTCATGCGAGGTAGAAAATTGTTTATACATTTGATTTAATACTAAAATATTATTTTTCTGTTTTTATTTAAATAGCCAAATTCAATTGCTGAAGTTGTACAGATTGAAAAAGATAGCAAAATTATAATCATAACAAATCGACGTATTGCTAAAGGTGAAGAAATAATGTATGATTATAAATTTGATTTTGAAGAAGATTCAAAAATTCCGTGTTTATGCGGTACAACTAATTGTCGGAAATGGATGAATTAAACTAAACATGTTAACTGTTGTTCTTGTACTTTTTTTCTGTGCAGTGATGAGCATTCTTTCTTTTAAGTTAGATTTTTATATGTTCGCTCTCTCTCTCTCTCTATTCACATATAGTTCTCTTGAAACCATATTTTATTTGGTGTCTATTATTGTTCCTTTCCTTATAAAATATTGTACATTTTGTAGAGAGTTATATATATATATATATACATATCCACGTTTGCCCTTATTACAAAAAAAGAGACCAAACACCGACAGTTGTGTGGTTGTTGATGTTGTCGTCATTCTCTATTCTTCCGTCCTACCTGCTATTATTAACTATTATTAAGTGTTGTTTGTTTACTTACATATATTTGTATGTAATATGAAAAAATATTTGCAAGTATAGAAAGAACTTTTGAATATGATTGATTTCGTTTAAACAAACAAATTAGACTCATTTGTTTATTAGAATTGTTGCTGCAAACGATATATAATGTTTTTTTTTTCTTTTTTTTTTGTCGTCTGTTTTTTTTTCTTGTTCATCTTCTATTACTTTGTTCGTTTTTCTTTCTTTCTTTTGTTCTCATTCTTTTTTGTTTGTTTTCTTTTTGTACAAATATTTTTTGCAAAGAGAAAAAGAAAGATCATACCGCGATTGAGCGAACGAGAGAGACAAACATATGGAATTATTCGTTGTTGTTGTTGTTGTTGTTGTTTATGGGTTTGGAAAGAAAAATAATGTGTTTTTGTATACTGTGAAATTTAAGAAACCAATCTTTTCTTTAATCATAATATACAGATTAATAATTTTAATGAATGAATGAGCATTAATTTATTCATGAAAATATCCGAAGTACGTTTTTAATTCAAACAAATTAGAATACTTATTTAATTTCAATGGAATATATATCCAGCAATGTTGTTTTTATAAAAATATATTCGAGATATAGAACGTTGAAGAATTCTATAGTATACAAAATAAGACATTCAATCACGTTTTCATTGCAGTTTTAATAAAAGTCGCTACTACAATTCATACAATCATGTTACCCACTGATGTTTTTGTTGAATAATATTTATGATCTAGCATATGTATTCAATATCTTTGATTTGCAATAGCATGGTAACATCAATTAGCTTAATATTAGTATCACTACCATCACTATGAAGAAAATCTCTGATCAAAATGAACGATCTTGATCAAATAAGAATTAAAAACAGTTACTTTTTCACAAATTGAATGAGGCGTGAATACAGTTATATAATCTAAATTGTAATTATCTCTAACTTCTGATTCTACTCACGCTTATCAATCTTATCAGATATGAATAAGTATTGTATATACACTGAACTTCGATATTCACTAAATTTTCAATTGAAGTAAAAGAATTGCTAGAATTCTAGATATTGTTGCAAATATAGATCTACAGTGAATAGATTTCAAAAGTTTTGAAACAGAAAATCTTTTAATAAATAAATTATTTAATATAGAAATAGTATAGCTTACTCATCTATGGTATTATCTGGATTTTTCTTTCTGTTCTGTTTGAATAGAAGAATCCATAGAAAATAGAGGAAAAACAAGTATCAGAACGCACAAAAAAAAAAGTGGTGTCAGCAGTGGGAGTCGAACCCACGCCAGCATACGCTGACCAGAACACTCCACCTCACTGAGGAAGCATTACGCTTGAGTCTGGCGCCTTAGACCACTCGGCCATGCTGACTACGAGAACATTAGGTTTGTAACTTGATGTAACTGTGTCGACTATTGAACGAAGAAGATTAATGTTGAATCGTCTACGGTATTTTTATCTTAGAATAATATTATTGTTCTTCAAAGTTTTTATATATAACTCGAAAGATATATAATAGAAAAAAATGTGAATATATTCAAAAAATTTTCCAAAGAGTATATTTCATTTAATATAAGCATTCGATTCTTTGATTATCGATAAGACTTATATAATCAAATTATTTTTGTACGATGACTTGTTTTTTGTTCAAAATTTTGATTAAAGTACCTAACTACAAATTTCTCGTTTATTTAAAAACAAATACATTTTACTGATGTGTCAGTCTATCTTCAAATCTTTCAGAAACAACATAATTTTCAACTTGATACCGGTTTTTGGGGTAAAATTGTTGAAAAACTTTACCATCTATCTCTTAAAAAATAAACTTTTTTCCAATTTACACTTTTTCAATCGCACATCCCAAATTTCTCTGTTTAGACTCGTTTAATATATTAAAATGTTTTTATTTGCTCGAAAGAACATGTCAAACTTCAGTGAAATATCGCGTGCTTTTTTTGTCATATAGACAAACGTTAATATTAACACACACCCATTTTTTAAAGATTTTATGAGACCATCATTCGATTGGATTTTTGCATATTTTTCATTCAAAACAATAAATTTATTGCTCAAAATCATTTTTGATTATCAGCGCCCCCTCTATTTCAATGTCGTATTTCTCCATTTGCTTCCATCGTGACAAACAAACGGTGTACAATTATGTCAACTTTCTTCTATTTATTCTTGCATCGTAACTCTCAAAGAAATGATCAATATATATTTACGTTCAACAGGAGAACGATTTAAATTGAGAACAATTCATTTTAATACAAAAGTTCGTGAATTAAAAATAATTCTTGAAATAATATGCGGTATACCAGCACATTTGCAATTATTATATTATTTGGATGAAAGCACTTTACTTGATTCACAAAAACTTAAATACTATGATCCTGTTCCAAATTGTACGTTTATACTTGATGTCTGGTTTATTTATGAACCAATTGTACAAGCTGTTGTAGCTAATGATGAAGAAAAGGTAACTCATAGTTAATAAATGCGTATTCAAAAATTTTATTTCATTTGAGTTATATTCTTCATGTGTCAATGTATTAATTTATTTTAGCTATTTCAACTTGGTGTTTTGCCTGGTATACCATTTTCATCACCCATTGCTGATAGTCTAGATCCACCAGATAAAGAAGCATATATTCTAGAACGAGGTAGTATTGCTCTCTTTACAGCTGCACATCGAGAAAGACTTAGTATTGTACGTCGTCTATGTGAAAATAGTAAGTATAATATTACTAATTGCTAATTTATCATGTATAAAAATAATAATGTTTTATTCTATTCTGACAGATGTTGGTATTAATTATCAAACCGCAGCAGGACGTACACCATTAATGGTAGCAACTGCTCGTGGTTCATTACGGGAGATGGAATTGCTTTTAGATCATGGTGCGCGACTTGATATACGAGATGCATTTGGACAAACAGCTGATAATTTTGCTGAGATTTTTAGTCAAATACAAAGTCGTCGAACGATCATAAAATTTAAATGGAAAAAACGAAATGAAAAATCAATGCTTCAAGAACGTGAAGCTAAAATTGCCATCAAACAACAAGGTACTGAAGCTGAACAAGCACTTGAAAAATCGAATCATCAACGTGAACAAAGAGTTCAACAATTAGCCGAACAACGAAACAAAAGACAAGAATTACTTGCTGCTCAGAAATTACGATTAGGAAAAAAGAAAAGTAATATTTTTTGAGACTTAAAACTAAAGAATATCATTCATTTTTGTTTAGCTCCTCAAAGACCCATATCCAGTCGTATATCAACTGCTCGATTAACAAACAATGACAAAGAACAGGATTCAACAAGTTTAGCTGGATCACTAGATAATTCATTATCATCACCAAGTATTACTCGACGATCAGCTGGACCAAAACAAAAATTATTTGCACATCAATTTTATGATGTTTATGAAGGTATGACTGATGAAGAATGGACAAAAGTACGTGATGCATTTGTTGCACAATATTTTTCTGAATAAAAACAAAAAACATTTGTTTAATTATATACTGTTAATAAGACATGGACAAATAAATTATAATCTATTGTAATTAAAATCTTTTTTTAAAGACATTATGCGTTTAGTTATTTCATTATCACATATAAAATATAAAAATCTACACAATATGGAAAGAGAATGAGTAAGATATAATTCATTTTGTTCCTTGTTTCATCATATTTGTTAAACCTATATATGGATGTACTAGTGTCGTTGAATTTTGATTAACAGGAACAGATGAAAATGATGTACTTGTTACAATTGAAAGGTTTTCTGAAGGCGGAGGTTCAGATATTCGAAATGATGGTGTCATATGTTGCTCATTAGTATTTGGATTTTCCATTATTAATGTTTTATCTTGAACTTGTTTCTTCAAAAGTTCAAAAGCATTATCAACACGTGTTTCTTTTGGATTGACACGATGAAAGATTTGTTCTCTATACATAGATGCTTTTTCTGTTAAATTAAGAAGAATATAATCGCAAAGAAATGTTGCTAAACCAAAAATACCAACTAATGAACCTGTATTTAATGTTAATGTTATAAAATCAAATTTTCCAGCTTTACCACTAACAGAAACGATAAAACGAAGACCATAAGCTTTTCTTAATAAACGTAAATATGTTTCATTATCTTTCCAATGAGATGCAAAACGAAAATTAAAACCAATAGAAAATCTTTCTTCATGAAATGGTGTATCAAGACGGTCAAATGTATATACTGGTTTACATAATTTTATATTACGATCTAAATTACAATCCCAATCAAGTTTAACACTTATTACACCACCATAAAGTAACATTAATTGACGTTCAGTTTCATTTTTTTCAGCTTCTTCTAATATATAATCAAGACCAAATATTGGACAGTCTGTGTTTTTCTTTGGATGAAATACACATGGTTTTAAATTTCCAGCCATATTTTTATGTTTAACATTAAATGTAGGAAATTCAATGAAATTCTTTATAAATATTGTAAAATGAGGAATTTCTCTAATAACTGTTGATTTTTTACGATCATCTTCTACTGGACACCAACCTAAGAAATATGATAACTTATAATTTACAATTTTTCATAAAAAAACTAATCAAATAACTATTGACAATTACATCATTTTTTATTATTCATGTTCTTTTTTTTTTGAACAATAATAAAAGCTATTGTTCATTCTTGTTTAACTTGCATTTATTCCCAATTGATTTCTATTCTGCTTATAGGTCATGTATAGAGATCAAAAGTTAGACATATTATAGTTTTACTTATATTAATTCGTTTGATCAGACTCAAGTTCTCTTTAGTTTCTTTCATATCAGACGATATTCTGCAGTAAATCAGAACCAACGTCAATCGATCTATACTATAGGGTTTTTTTCTTTGTAGAGAAAAAAAACAATCATCGATGGAATACAGGTCGCAAATACTGATCTATTTACCTTGAATTTCACATAAACCGTATGGTTGTTGTGATATATTTGTTGTTATATTCGACATATCTATTATTGATGTCAATGAACATCGACCAGTCCATCGACCATTAATATCAGGCATATAAGGTTTATTTTGACAGTCACCATCATTTCTACATTTTGCCGGTTTAAATGATGCACTTTCAAGACATGTCGATCGACTTTGATCAGTTTCAATAAAATTTGTCATAATAAATACTGCATTATTTTCTGATGATGGTATTATATAATCTTTCAATTAAAAAAAATATATGTAATGTTATTTCATTGATTATCAAAAAGCAAAATATACCGGTTCCATCGAAAACATATGAGTCATTATTTGGCGTATCGATATAACCAAGACCTTTTACTTTAATTGTTATAGATGAAATAAGTGACGTATCTTGATATTGATAACCTTTTCTATAAATAAGTAAATAACATAAAGAATAGAGTAAAAGAATTGTTTGAATAAAACGAAGTAATGTTGTAATTGAATAACTATGTACCATAACTATTTTCGGTGTTTCATATTCGGTCATAAAACCAACAATTAGTTGTTTAAGAAATGATCGAACATTGAAACGTTGATTGGAAGATGATACTGGATTCATTTGTTTTGAATTAATTAAGTAATATTGTCTAAAAGAATAACAGACTGTTTTTATATAAAACTTACATTGTTTATGAATAGAATAATAATATTGAAATGACTATTGATTAGACGATACAATGGTAGGAGTAGATCTATTTTTAGTTAATTATCGTATAGCTATTTACTTACATCGAACCTAAATGAATGTATATCTCTATAGATGTTTTAGACATGTATCAACGAACTTAGCGGTTATTAGGGTTCTCTGGTTTGGTTAAACCATTCAATTTGTTATTATAATCGACTACAAGAAAATACATTATCTCAACAGATGTTTATTCATTATCTTTATAGAGAAAGGTTGACAATTATAATAGAATTGACATCTTCATTCGGTTTTTCGACTATATGACAATGTCCTTGTTTTCGATAATATATCCTAATCTATTTATTTATACCGTCTCAGATTACATCTACAGTGGAATAATGTAAATGAAGAGTATTAGTTATTCGCAAGTTATCATGAAAGAAAGTATAACTAACTAGTCTATCATATGTTTGTTGATAGCGAGAGAAAAAAAGAAAAATGATTTAGTATATATGCGTGTGCACCGAGATATGGCGTCAGTACACAATAGGAAATCACTTCGGGGAATTAAATTAATCTAGAAAAAAAATAGATACTATTTCTTTCGTTTTTCTTTTCTTCTGTCAACTGTTTTCTTGATGAAATTGTGTAAAAAATTACCGATATAATATTCTAGAAAAACAGTTTGTTTTTATCTCTAGGAGACGAAAGGAGAAAAAAGAGAAAAAGAATTACTTTTTTTCTATACATTAATACTTACAATTGTTATTCAATGGAATAAATTAATGCATAATTATATTTTCAATATAAGTCTTTATTATCTGTTAATTTATTTTGAAAGTGTTATTTTTTTTTGTATGTATCATGAGTGATACTGTTATAAATTGAAACAGGAAAGGTATTATAATTCACAATCAGTTCCGATTTATGTACTTAACACCTACTTACCATTTTATTATGCACGTTTCATTAACAATAAATAACATAATTAACTATAGTGCATATATATTTTATAATATATGTCATTTCTTTTTTTTTATCAAATTAAACGTACTTAAAATCTCATAGATAACAAATAAAAAAATATAATATATTATTGAAAATAGTGATGACTTACCTATAATGTAGATTAAAATGTGACATAATTCCTTAGTAGTATGAATGATGTATATAAAATGAGGAAGAAAGAATGAGATAGGTCAAATTTTATGTGGCTTGATTTGGCTTCAAAATGCTTTGAGTGAAATAATATCTAGTAAGAAATCTAGATGTTTTTTCTGTGCATTTTTTGTTTAATGAAATGAGTTCTTGCAACTAAAATTACTTTTTTGAACCTAAAGAATACTTAAAAATAGAATATTTTTTCTAAGTTTTCCTCTACCTATGACCTATTTTTATCAATTATGATGTCGAAAACTTCACATTTCTTCAACTCAATATAATTGGTAACCAGTATCTTCTAATACTTTACTATAAATTTGTATAAGATAGAATAAATAGAAATATCATCCACTAGAAAGTGTAATTCTATAAAGATAATCAATATCGACTATATATATATATATATATTATTAGAATAAGAATCCGCATCTGTCAACTATTATCGATTATTAGGTTCTATACATAATGATTCTCTCGATAATAAATATGCTTTATATATTAATCTCTTCTTTCTCGAGTAAAAGAATTGTATCTAATATAGAACAATATTATCTTAACTATTGCCGATTATTATTCCAATAAGGTAATCTCAAGCAGATCATTTATTATTAAATTTCTCTAACAAAACATTGATAAAATAACAGACTAACTAATAATCTCTATAGTATAATAAAAAACTAATAAATTTTGTCATCGATAATAAATGATTATTGAGTTGAAGAAAATAATTTAGCAATATGTTCTAGAAACATAGTTATCCTTATACTACTAACAAATTAAATAAAAAAATGATAAGTTTTAGTCTACTTATAAAAGAAATGAATGTACTTTCATTCTTTTCAAATTATCTTATATTACCATTTTTTTAATAATTAATAATTTATGGAGTATGACTTCTGACAGCCATTATTTTAATGAAATATACGTAGGAATATATCGATAGAGTATAAAAATAAACCTTTTTGATCTTTAATTAGAATATTTGCTTTCTTTAACTCTTATAACTGATTATTCTTTCAAATGATAAATTTTCATTAAGTATGATTTTGTAATAAGCTGTTTTCGCTTATGAACTTTTGTGTATTTTAAATAGCTCGAAAGAGTAATAAAATAAAAGTGAAGATGTTTTTGACTACTTTCAAGTATATTCTTTTTTTTTCTCATACAGTTCATAATCCGCTAAAATCCACCTACATCCTGAAAAGGTTAATATTCCAAAATGAAGTTGTAGATTTGTGGCAATAGTTTTAAAGTAAAATTTTGTTGCTGAATCTATTAATTTAATTATATGATTTTTCCTAGCGTTCAGGGAACTAAGAATTCATGTCGATAAGCTTCCAAACAGAAAAACAAAACGTTTCAAAAGACTTGGAACGCATCCTTAGACGTTGTGTCTTACTTCGTCTTCTTTTCGAAGAATCCTTGAAGAAAGATGAGTACTTGAGTAGTCTAGAGACAACTATTTTTTTTAAATGAAATTGCTATTTATACGATACTACTTACCAAAGAGTCTGCTATTTCTAGTGTCATATGCAACTTATCATACACTAGAGATAATAGCTTTTAATTCAAATTTACATTGAATGTAGTGGAAAGCGTTTCATAATTTAGAGAACGACACAGAATATATCTGTGAAACCTTTAATAGATCAACGAATCCATTCTCAGATGTTTCTATAGAGAATGTAAAAGGAAACGACCTCATTTTGATGAGATCTGCTAATTTCCGTTCTAAGAAGAATAGATAGAGGTCTATTCTGCTAGTCTATAGAACGATTCAAAATAATTTCTGTCTAGATAAAACAACATTTTTTAACTCGTCAAGGAAGTATTTTCGTTAAATTTTTTAATTAAAATGTTATACTAATTTATAGAAATAAGTAAAGAAGACTTTCATTGAGCTTGACAATTAAAAATTTTCTATGTACTTAATAATATGCTTAATTAAGGTTCTACAGAGAGATTGTTTTTCTAATTCAAGTAGTTGAGTGATATTTAGTATTCTTTATATTTTAGTATTTGACAACGAATAATATGTGCTACTTCAAATGCATGATACATACGATTATTTAAATGATTTATGTTCGAGTTCCTCGGAAAGTTGTCACATATGAATGCCTTATGACAAATCGATTATCAACTTAGGGAATAAAAAAATATGAAAAAAATTGCATTAAACTCATCATTACATTATCGGATTCTAGATAATATACTATTGGGAACAATGAAATAACTGAATCGAATTATAAATAATTTTTATCATTCTATAACTTGTGCAATCTAACATCATGAATAATAAATAGATCAGAAAAAAATCTCATACTGAACTATTAAATTGTGTGGTACTCAAATGTATGGTTTTTAATATCTTACCTGATTTATTGAGAATTTAGTAGAACGCTTTCAATTATTGTTATAAAGAAAAATCTTGACGGTTATAGTTAATACTTGACAAAGTACTCGCACAAATAATCAACGACAGAAAAGTAAATATTTGAAAACATTGTTGATGTATTCTGTCTGATCGGATGTTTTTTTGTTCATCATTATCATAAATAAACCTCAATACCATCATCGAATATCAAACAATGTCATGTTAGTCTGAATTCTGAAGGGAATGTAATACATTGCAATATCTCACCCTTCGTAGTACTATTTATCAATGGATATAAAAACATTTCTTTTGAAAATAATTAGTGAAAAAAAAGGGTGTACAATACAGAATAGATTAGCAAGTTTCTAGAACTCTTTGTTTGCTATTCTATGATTGATTACCAATGGGAAAAACAAACAATACTAGTTTTCAGGCATAATAATTTATTCTTGGTATATGAATAAAATCTTAGAATCTCTCTTTCTCTATCATTAGGGAAAAAATGAACTCATTTACTTTATTCAGGTTAAAATATAAGATTTTTGTTTATCACAGGTGACTTCTGAGATAGACTGTTGATGTTATTTATTGACAATACGAATGTTATCATATGTAAACATTCCATAGAGAAATAAAACTTTTTGTTTTCAATAAATATTTTTCAAAATAAAATTATTATTTCATTCTATAGTATATAGATTTAGCTTATTTTATTAATCACATTAAATCTTAAACAATATGTATATTTTTTCGACACTTGTAAATACAAAGTTTTTCTACTGGACTGTAGACTTTATTTATACAAATCTATAGTTACAAGTTAAACATTTTTTTTCCTAAACACGAAAGAAGAGAGAAATTTGTTTAGGTTCATCATCAAACTACTATTCTACAATCCATAACAATACAAAAAAAAAGAAAAACGTTAACATCAAGAAAATATGAAAAAGAAAAAAATATATGTATATTGTCGTTTTATATCAGCCCTTTGTTTTAAGAATAGAATTATGTACTTTGTAATGCTGAGATTATCGAACGTTTTCGTTGTCCACGTTTATGTAAATGATAAGCATATATGGGTGGTAATAAACGATTCAATTGCGTAGCATTTAATTCACTAATAGGTACATGTTTTTGTTTTAATTTAACATCTGAACATTTTATCCATTCACCTGGACAACTATTAAAAATAAACAATAAGATCAATTTCAAAACAAAAAAAAATACTTACATATCTTCAGGTGTCCATTCAACATATTGCTCACTTCGATCACCAATATGACGTTTCATAGTAATCTTTAAATAATAAATTAATAGGAATTTTAATAAATTTGCTTTTTTTACCTTTGGTTGTAATACCACTACTGTACCAGATTTATCTGTTGAAAAATATGGACATGTATCGAAAAGTCGAGTCAAATGAAAGACTTCACTATCAGTAAAACAATCACGATTTACAGCTACAATGAAAATGAAATTATTAATATATAATAAACGATGTGAATGAATTACCATAAGCAACAGGTACTCCATTAATTTTAGCTCGACGTTTTCGATTAATTTTTTTTTCATTTGATTGATGTTGAACTTGTTGGAGAAGCATATTTTGATATGAACCATTGATACTTCCTCCACGAAGATATGAACGTTGATTTTCATCACCATTTGATACATCAAAATCTGTTGTTCCAATCATTGAAGTATCTCCATTAGTATCATAGAGCATTGATGCATCTTGTTGTCTTAAATGTGTTTGAACATGCCGTTCAAGTGCAAATTGTGTTGTAAATTGTTCAATACAATTATCGAAAACACATCGAAATGGTTTATCATTTGTATGTTTATGTATATGTTTTTCAAGATAATTTACACTACGTGATGCTACTTTATATACTCGACATCCAACCCATAAACACATTTGTTCTTTTTTACTATTCTTTTGAGCATTAACATGTTGAAGAAGATGATCAAATAAAGAACCATTAATATCACCTGTATGTGTACAACGATCCCAACGACATTTTTGTTCTTTAGGCTTTTTAGGTGGAACAACAACAGGTCCAGGAACAGTTTCCTGTTGAAGTAATTGTTCATAAGGTGATTGAAATGGACTATTATTATTATCTCTATCAATTGTTTCTTCTTTTACATGAATAACAGGAGGCTCACTACGACGAAATCGTTTTGGATAATTATTACCATTTCCAGTCGAAGATGAAGATGCCATCTAGAAAACAAACAAAATCCTACAAATGTGTAAGCATTGAACTACAAATCTTCTTTTTGTTTTCAAAATAAATGAAGACACAAATAGAAAAAAAAATAATGATTAAAAAAGATCAATGACGAAGTTGTTCACGTTTAATTCGTTCACCATATGCACGTGAAACAATATTCCATGCATCCATATATCGATCAGAACATTGACTAATACATTTCTAAACAAAACAATCAAACAAAATAACTTCTATAGATAAATAAATACCTGATCAGAACTTGATAAAGTACTACCAGGTTTTTGAATACAAGCTTTAAAACATTTATCAGATAATTTCTATAAATTATAAAACAAAATTAATAAGCAAAAAATTATTATTTAATTTATCACTTGAAGAATTTCTTGAGCATTTTGAATAGCCATTTGTTGTTGTACTGAACTCATTATTTGTTGACGTTGATTAGTATCAAGTTTTGGAGTATCGAGACTCATTTTGGTAATTGAAATAGATTTCTTGTTGGTTTATGTAGAAAAATCTTAAATAAATACATATGAAAGAATTACATGCTCGTTTATATCTATCTGGTTTGTTGTTTAGTCAAAAATTTCGATTATAACATAAATGATATGAAGAGTAGAAAAAAAGGAAATACGAATAGACAAGTAACAATAACAAAAATCACAGCACTGTTTCGTTCACACGGAATGTATAGAATTTATCACAATTGATTAAAGAAAACTTCTATATTATCATTGAATTTATTGTTGTTGTGGTTGATACGAATATTGCATGGTTAATCGAGGTGATATAGTACTTGAAGTTGGAAATAAATCTAAACCATTATGATGATTATCATCTTCAGTAGAATTTAAATCATTATTTTCAGTAAAAGATGATGTTACAGAATTAACCGTAATAGTTCGTCTATTTGACAAAGAAATTCGTTCATTACTATTATTATTTGAAGTTGTCGTTTCGATTGATTGTTGATTTAATGTATAAAGCTGAATTCTAAAAAAAAAAGAGTTTATTATTTTTATCAAAGACTAGTGTTAAACAAGAAGAAGAAGATTCTATTATCATATCACAGTCAAACTGACTTACAAAAAAAATTGATTTATATCGACGACTATCAATGAATTGAATAGGATATAAATTTAAATATACCATATAAAATACTTACGGATTATTATTAGAATTTATAAAATATTGTTCCATTAGTTCTTTTAAATTTTCTAATGTTTTTCGATAATCTGTATGACGACCACCAACACGACAATGATGCATTATCTAGATATTTAACATAATCATATTAAATCATTTCTTTTTATCATGTATAACTTACTTGACCGATATTTCGATTAAGTAAAAATAAACCATATTGAAAAGAATTAATATCATAACTTGGATATAATGGAAAACTGAAAAAAAATAAATAATATCATTCTAATTGAAAATGATCTTACTCGCTTGATTGTAAATTATTATCATAGATTTTAATCAATGATGTTCCATAATACTCAATTGGAAAACGAAGTGGTAATTGAATAATATGTGAAATAATAAGAACAATATGTGCACAATATCCTACACCTGCTCCAATTTCATATTCACGTTCACGAGCTAAATTTATTCAAAGATTTTCTTTTAAGATTAAAAAAACACGGAAGCAAAAACTAACTTAATGGTTGATAACTTTTATCTTCTGCCGGTGGTAATTTAATATTTCCAATAGAATATTCATTGTTATTATCACTTGTAATAGGATAAATATGATGATATATATTAGTAATAAGATTTTTTTGTCGAAATATAATTAATTGTATTAAATCATGAAGAAGATATTTTGATTGATTTAAATTATTTATACGTAAATTAAGTTCTTTTTGTTGAACAACTAATTGTAATAAATTTTGATTTAATCGGTTTTCTTAAACGAAATTTTACATTCTATTTTATTTGAATAAAAATTAGAAAATTTTACTTTTTTCATTAATTAATTTTTGTCGTCGTTGATTAATATTTAATTGTCGTTCATAGATCGTTATTTGACATTGTAAATATTCTCGTAAATTTTCTATATGTAATTGACGAGTTTCACGTTCTTTAATCTATTAATAAACATCAAATGAAATCAATTATAATAGAAAAACCTACTTTTGAAAAATAATCTTCATTTTCATTAACAGATTGTTGTAAATTTTCAAGACATTGAATTGATAATCGGCTTTGAGCACGTATAGCATCAATCACATTCATCATTCTAAATTTAAAAACCAATAAATAAAAATAAGAATATTTCAACAAACCGTAAAATACTTGATTTATTGTACGATTTGACTAAGAGATTACGTTTGGATTTCTTCTCAGAAATTGTCATTTGTTGAATACTTTTTTGATGTTTTAATTTTGATGGATTATCAGTAAATCGATAACCGAATATTTCAAGCCATAGACTATTATTATTTATATATGATTCATCTTTCTGATAAGAAAACAAAAGAAAAAATAATAAATATATAAATATATTCTAATTTGAAATAATCAAATCAGATCTTACCTTACCTGTTCATCAGGCATAAGACTATCATCAAGATAAACATCATATTCAAGAAATAGACGACAATTATTCAATGTTTTTATCCAAACACGTATAACAAAATCTAAAGATTACATATAAATTTTTACTAAAGAAGTCTAGAATAATCATACCTTGTAAACATTGCACATTTATTGGGAATTCTAAATAAGACCATTCTGGGCTCTATATGAACAAAAAACAATATTTTAAAAAATTTTATCATATAACTCACACGTTGATTTTCAACTGATTCACTTGTATAAAAAGCTAGAAAAGTGCATAAGATGTTTTCGCTAGAAATAGGAGGTTTACTTACCAACGGTTTTGTCATTTCGATGTAATGTAAAATAAATTGTAAAATTAAATTCATTTACAGTTAAATTACGAAAACCCAAAGCAGTGATTCGTCGTAATCGTTTCTATTATAATATAAGATTATTTTTGAATAGAAATCTATTTGAACTTACCTTAAGAAATGGTAATGATATAAGTGGACTCTTTTTTATTCCAGTCAATGACATATTTATTCAAGCTATTTTTCATCAAAACAAAATTTCTAGAATAAGACAAAATAATAATTATCGTTTTTATCGTTTAAATAATAAGTATAATCACATTTAATAAAAAATAAGGAAAAAAAAGAAGTTATTCTCTACTTTTGAATGAACATCATATAACAGAAAATAGAAGTATCGTAAATAGATATATTTTTTCACAATCATAAATAAAAATCGGTTCACAACGGAATTCATCATTCTTTCATACATCTATAACGCCTCGACAACAAGTTTTAATTGCTTCACTAAAATTAAAACAAGAAATAAACTGATATTGATATATATGTATAACTACCGTGCAAATGGAATGTAACTAATTGTATACCAACCCTAGGGAGAAGAAAAAATCATTTGATTTCAAATATATTTTTTCTAATTTTAACTTACAAGAGCAAGAAATTGAACAATAACGAATATAAGAACAAGAACACCTGATTTAATCTAAATAAATACAATTATTGATTATTTTCTTATCTGAATAATACTTACGACAAGAGCTGATATGAGTGTCATTACGATCGATGCCTATAAATAAAGTTAAAATATATTTGAATCTATTTTCATTTAAATTTAACTTACAAGAAAGACAATAGTAGCAATTAATCGAGAAGAATCAAACATTTTCTTTAATTGCTTCATTGGACCCATTAAAAATATCGTACTATATCCAAATAAAAAATAAAAATCACATTTTTATATATAAAAACTTACGATCCAAGACCAAAAATAACAGCGACGCTATATAAAATAGCAAAACCAGAAAGATTATTACCAAGAAAATAAACAATTACTGACTAAAATATTTTTATTATATTTAAAATTTTTAATAATATTATTAATAACTTACACCAATTCCAAGCAAGACGGCAACAAGCAAACAGAGACCAAAACCTTTTAGTCGCGTATCCCATGATAAACCGGATATCTATAAAATAAATATACGTATAATATGTTTATGTAAACAGTGAACTCATGTCTTACTTCAGACATCATACCACTTTGTTCTTCTGTTTGTTCTTCCCCAGGATTGAAAAATCGTTGAACTTTATCCATAATAACAATAATAATAAGAAGAAAATACTTTTATATAAAAGAATAAAATATATGTATATAAAAAACTTCAAATTAAACAATATTTTAAATACATTTTCATATTTAAAGTATAAAATATACAGAAAAAAAATCGAATTATACCCATATCATTTTGTAATCGGATAAGGTTGAATAGAAGCGCGAAATGGATTAAATGACACCATTGATGGTTGATCCGATAAGCAAGACTTAATAATATAATATAACTACAGAAACTTATGTCTATTATTAGTAGTAGAATAGATCCATGACGAATATCGATGAATTAATAAGAACATTCTAAAAAAGAAAAGGACATATATATATTTATTTGGGTTTTAGTAGGATATTAAAAGTATATAAAGAGGTGTGATCCATGCAATAGAAATAAATTTTTATGAAAACAGAAAGAGAACTACGCATAGAATACGAACGAAAAATAGGTAACAGCTGTTAAACGAACGGTTTTCTCTTATGGAAAAATTATATTTTATTTAATTTGGTTTTTTTTCTTCTCTTTTTTAATTCGTTGCTTGCAAAAACGTTTATAACGACAAGAGAGATTCACATAACAACAGAAAAGAAAAAAAGAAACTGTCATTAATCCAATGTTATCGGTGCAGCTCGTCGTGTTTCAGTTGCATTTAATTGTATTAATTGTTTAAGTAGTAATAAAACTTTAGCACGATAATTTTCTTCTCGATCAAATGCTGGATTATCATGTATATAAATACATTGTAATGTTTCCATTGGAACAAGTTTATTTAATTCATCAGCATTTTTTATTTGATTATCATTAAACCATAATTCAGTTAAATTTTTAAGTAATTGAAGATTATCAAGATGTTCAATTTGATTTTTTGATATATCAAGAACAGTTAAATTCGTATTTGTATCAAGATTTTCAATAGTTTTTAAACGATTTTCTGATAAATAAAGTTCTTTTAATTGTGTTAAATTTTCTAAGCCTTCAATTTTTGAAATTCGATTTGCACCCAATCCAAGAATACGTAAACGTGTTAATGTTTGTAAATTCTCAATTTTTTCAATTTTATTTTTACCCAAATGAAGTTCTTCGAGTTGAATAAGTGCTTCTAAATTTTCAATTTTCTAAATAAAAAAAAAACAAATTATTCAACTAAAAAAGAAAAACCAATAAAACTAACTTTAATTCGATTATCACCAAGTTCTAATACACGTAAATGAACTAATGTTGAAAGATTTTCAATGGTACGTATTTGATTATGAACAATATAAAGAGCTTCAATATCAACTAATGTTGATAAATTTTCAATAACAACAATTCTATCTACGAAGATAAAGAAAAATTATAAAGAAAATTAATGTTATATAAATATACTAAATGAAAGATCAACATGTTTTAATTGTACCAATGAATCTAAACCTTCAATTCGTTCAATTTGATTATCATATAAATCAACAGTTTTAAGTGTTGTTAATTGTGAAATATTATCAATTTTATCAATTAAATTCTGGCGCATATTTAATGTTTCTAGGTTTGTTAAACCATCAAGTCCTTCAATTGTTCGAAGACGACATGCAGTTAATTCAATAATAGTGGAATCAGGATCAATAACAATTGTTTCAATAGGTGTTTCCGTATCATCTTTTTTTTCTTTTGGATTTTCACCATTTGATACAAGAGTAACTGAATGTTTTTGTTCGCTTGACATGACTATTTATTTTGTCAAAAAAATAAAATCTATCTGAAAGAAACACCAAAAAAAATTATCTATTTACACAACGTTCAATTCAATAGACAAAAACAAATAAATGAAATTTATACAATATTAAAAAAAAAGAGATAATCATACATATCAATGAATATTATTTAATGAAAATGATATTTTTTCTCGTGTTTTATTTTTGCCTAATATTAAATTTTGTTCTTTAGCATGTTGTTTGCCTAATTGTCGATCAAATCGTTCTCGATCTTCCATTAAACGTAATTGTTCAGTACGTAATTTTTCTTCTTCTTCAGCCTAAAATGTATATAAAACAATTTTAAAGTATGGTCAGTTAACGGTCATCCTCGCAGGAGGAAGATTTAAATCAATGAATCACAGAAATTTTTTTATAAAGATTCTATTCTCAAAGGCTTTTAATCAATAGATGGAAATTTAGATACCAAAAATATTCTCTTTGAGTGAATTAACTTACAAGTCGTTTTTCAGCTTCAACTAATTTACGTTCATTTTCAACGAGAACTTTCTCTAAATCTTCACGTTTTTTTCTTTCTTCTTCCTATTGAAATAAAATAACAAAATAGAATAAAATAATTAATTGAAATTTTGTTATTATACTTCTTTTATAATTAATCTTCTCATTTCTTCATTATTTCGTTTTTCTAATTCCATTAACATTTGTTTTTCCATTGCTCGTTTTAATACATCAACACGTCGTTTAACTTCGTTTTCAATTTCATCTTTACGACGTTCAAGTTCTTCGCGTACACGTGTTTCAACAATATCTTTTACACGTCGATCAACTTCGGCTTGAATTAAATTTTCACGAGTTTCTCTTTGACGTCTAGACACAAAAAAAAATGATAAATACAATACAATATTATTATTATTATTGATTTACAATAGTTGAGTACGTTCTCTTTCCAATTCAGTTAATCGATCAATTTCAGCTTTTTTACGAGCTGTTAAATCATTTAATTCAGATATATTAGTTGTTCGATTACTATTTATAGTTGATGCTGAATTCTCACGAGCATCATCTGATGATTCACTCGTTGATCGACGATGAGTTCTAAATATGACATTATCAAAGAATTTAATATATGTATATATAGACATAAATTATATATTACTGTTTAACTCTTTTTTCTCCATTGCGATCAGGCGAACGTGATCTATGTCGTTTTGACGAACTAGTAATTATACGATCTTTTGATCTATCTCTATCACGAGATGATTTTCGTCGTTTATGTTTTTTACTTGACGGACTACGTGAACGACTCATCGTGTTGTATTACAACACGAAATCTAAATAGAATTAAAAATGAAAATAGATAACTGTTCTATTATTTTTCATTAGAGAAAAAAGAAAACAACAAATAGCAAAATGAAAAAGTTATATTCAATTATCTCGATGTTTTCATATTTGATAACAAATTACCTAAAATAGAAAGAAAAGCATATAGAAAATTTTAATAAAAATATTTTCCTAAAATAAACAAAGAAATATATTGGGCTTACCATAAAATATTCAATAGACATGAAAAATTTCAAAACAAAAATACATATTTAAATTCTCAATTTTTTTATTGTTCAAATACAAAAGAAAATAACTGTTTTTAGTATAAAAAAATAAAGAATTAGTTTCTATATCGGTTAGACAGAGTATGATCACACTAATAAAAGAGAACTTTTATCGGGAATTCTTTTTGTAATCATTGAACTTGTTCGTTATCTGTCGAAAGATATGTCATAAATATTTGTGACATGCAATAAAATCATCTATAATTCTTTGTTTTATTTACATTTTTAATAAGAAACATACAATCAATGAAAAAAAAATCTTCTATTTAAATATACTTAATAATAGTTTAAATAATTGAAATAAAAAAACGAGACAAGAAAATGAATAAATAAACAATAGTAACTGACATTTTTTCATTCGTTTCAAAGATACATCCGGAGTTGATAAACATATGTTACATATAGAGGGCAGCATCTTCCGTCGAAATATATCATAAATGAAAATTAGTGTTTATAATTTTTTTTTAAATTCTTTTAAGAACAATTGATATGTTGGAAATCTTCAATAAATAAGTAATTCTAATATTAAAAATAGTTTGTTGATAACAGTATGCAGTCTATATTTAATAGATTTTCATTTGGAGCAATTTCAACTTTTAAAATGTATCATTACAATTACAAATGTTTAGAATATGGGTGTGGGCATTTATTCTCATAATCGATGCCCAAACCCACAAAATGACTGATCTTAATTTATACGCATATCATGGTTCATTAAAATACACAGATAGAATTATAGCTTAAACATTCTGTTCGATTTTCATAAAACGAGCAGTATATAAGATGTTCACATATTCTCCTCCTCAATTTTATCCCGAAAAAGAAATCTGCTGTTGATTTTTAAGTTTTCTTCACAGTTGTGAATCCGCAATCAATATGTCAACATTATTCGATAATCTGCTATGTATCTCAGAATTTGAAGATGAAGAAGTACTTATATTGCCTTTTACTTTGTTCATTGTTCGACAGATAGATACAAATCCAAACTACAAAATCACCCATTTTAAAAACATATTTATTAAATAAAAATCTCGGATGTGACTATGTCCGTAGCTGTAGATGAAAGATCAAGACTACACTAAGAATGGCACTTTATTTTTACTTTACTAAGTAAAATAAAGTTAACGTATCATTTCTGGCCTACATCTACAAGCGCTCACATCGTCAAAATATTAAGAAATAAAATCACTGGTACATAATTATAACAAAATATGGAATGTTGCAAAAAACTTTTTTTTTCCAATACAAATAAGTTTTGAATAAAAATCTTTTCAGAAGTTTGCTATTTCATTATCTAATTCCGGTTCATAAATATTAATATGTGGTAAATCAGCTGCTTGTATACTCGTTGGAACGTTATTGTTGAGATTTTGTGGGAGTTGAGGAGAAATAAAAGTAGCAGTCACCGCTAGTTGTTGATTATCAAGTACCCATTCTACCGAAAAAAAATTGATATGCTAAGTAACAAAGAATTCTACTGGTTTGCTTACGTATATCTACGTGACAACTTCGGCAATTCATGGCAAATCCGCTGTTTCTTCGTCTAGTTAACCATTCAATGAGTTCACCATAATGATACCGTGCATGGCACCCAGTACAATTTATTACTATTTCATTAGGTTGTATATTGTCCAAACAGACGTGACATATTCTAGAAACATTTAAAAAGTAAACAATTTGGGTAACTATAATTAAATCATCGGACACATACGTCTGAAGGTGTGGGTGTGGCGGTGGTAGTGGTGGCTAGAATACCAAAAGAAAAAAAGAAGTAGTTTACTTTATACAAACTATGTAAAAAACCTCATTCTCATTTACCTGCACTTGATCTTGTGCTCTCATTGTATTTCACGTTAAAACTGATTTAATAGATATAATTCAGAAGTAGAATTTTTGATATATTTTCTGGAATTTTAGAAAAGCAGACCGATTTCTTCGACGCCTGGCAATTTTGCTAAAATAAATGTTTCGTTTTACATGTCTTCTCTTTAAACACCATGTGAATGCAAACTTATAGATTGGATATATACATCAATGAAAACAAAAAATTAAAAGATATTTATATTTACTACTCACGTGTTTATATCGATTGTTTATTTCATTGTTTCCCTGAGATCTGAAATTATCTCGCCGTCACGAAAAAACGTAGATAGTTTTGATTTATTTTTAAAGCACACTAAGCTTTTTTCTTCTCTACTCAGAAAAAGAAAAATGTGCGCTTCACTATTTTTTTTTCTTTCAAATATTTTTATTTGATATGGACAAGAAAAAAACATTCATGACGGTTATTTTTTCTTTCTAGTATCTTTATTTCATATAAACAAGCAAAAATAATATATGAAGACACATTTTTTCTTTCTATTACCTATATTTCATGTGACGAAGCAAACACATTAATGAAGGTTTTTTCCTATTTATCAGTAGTTACGGTGTACACTCGATCGATTTTTACTTTTTTTTCTCATCTATTCATTCTTCTATAACTACCTCACACATTTCTTCCAAGAGAATCGTATATTGATAGTATTACATATTAGAAAATAGACGACGGTAAAGCATTTTTCATTACAATTTTTCTTTTCTTGTTCGTGTGTAAGACTTACGTTTTTGAACAATACTGTAAAATATTTTGTAAAGTAGACTTTTTTATACACCATAGAAAACAGTTTTAAATATGAGTGATACAAATATGACTGGCGCTGCAACGTCATTAACGGTAGCAGTGGAGAAATCAAATGATCCTTTTGGTCCAGGTGATCTATTGTATTGGAAATGTGAATATGAAAAAGCCAAAGAATATTTTCAAGCAGTTTTAAATCAACCAGCAATAACTCTTATTGAATCAGCTCGATGTTGTAATTCACTCGGTGCAACCAATGCTAAATTACAAAATTATGAAGAAGCATTAGATAATTATCATAAACAGCTGAATCTATTACTAAAACTGCAAACGTCAGAAAAGATAACGAATGATATTATAAAATGTTATATGTCAATCGGAAAGGTCTATTGTTTAAAACAAGATTATGTCGAAGCTATTAACTATTACAATCGAGCACTTGGCCTTGTTCTCACCATCACATCAGCTTCGGATCTCAAATCAACTATTTACAAGGATTTAGCTAATCTATATACAAAAACACAAAAATTTGACTTAGCAACAAAATACTTTACAAAAGCACTTGAGATAGATCAACAGCAACTTGGAGAAGATCATCCAAAATTTGGACAAACATATGCAAATATGGGAGCTATGTGCTGTCGTCAAGAAAATTATGAACAAGCATTAGATTATTTTTTAAAAGCACGTGAAATATGGGAGAAATCTCTGACATCAAGCCATATTTATGTTGAATCTATGAACAAGACAATACAGAAGGTTCAATCAAAACTAAGTATGTACATATCCTGAATACTAAAATTTGTGTGTAAGAAATTAGGTATGAAATTAATGAGAAAACTCAATGGTCTAAGTTTCAAACTGTCCCACATCAAAGTAGAAGCGAAGAAAAACTAGCTTAGTTTCTTAACTGATAAGTTTCAGAAAACAACTTTTCGAAATTAAAACATCTTTGAGAGCAACATAAAATTATTTTAACTAATCACATGTTTGAAATAGAACATCAGAATCTATTAAAGAAACCTTGAGTCAGTGTCGAATGTTAAAGTTCTCGTAATATAACAAAAATGTACATAAGTAACGGTATTTTTCAACTTTTTACAAAAATTGTTTGAACGACTATACTTGTGAATAATGATTGATGTGTTAAACTGAATTATTTTCTCACTAGAGAAAGAGTCCATCGATAGATTGGAGATGATTTCAGTAGACGAGGCACTTGACTAAATCTTAATTTTGATTGTCATATGCATTTGAAAAGCCATCATCTATAAGGATAAAATATAAATTTTGAGCTCATTAGAATATACTCTAGTAAAATTAGTCCGAATTGACATGAATGATTTATTATAATATGGAGTCAAAATGACAGACCCACTCATTAGGAAGGATAGAAAATAAGACAATCTCATGAGTATATCCGTCTGTTTCTAATAGTTTCATCTTGAGTATGGATGTAGTTGTGAGTGTGGATATAAAAGAAGGATCACTCACATCAACACCCATATCCATACTGTATATAATTACCATCAAATTATCAAATTATAGATTGCATGGTCGAAAAACATTCATTGGAGAAAGCTCATTCTTCTCCAACAGCAGCAACAGCATCCGGCATTCATCAAGGACGACAACATATGGCTCAAAACTACCTTCTTCTCTGGGCAGATACCAACATCGATCAAACAAATCAAGATTATGAAAATACATTAAAACAAATACGAACTATTACTGGTGATGTCATTGTCTTCAAGGAACGAGATGCATGTATCGACTTTCTTACAGATGCTCAAGATGACACCAAGTCTTTTCTCATTATCAAAGATAACATATTTAATCAAATAATACCCCTCATTAATGATATTCCTCAGCTCGATAGTGTTTATATCTTCAATGATCTTAATAATCTACATGATGAATGGGTAAAAAATTGTGACAAAATTAAGAGCATTCATACTAACATCGATGATCTATGCCAAGCATTACAAATCGGTGTCAAACAGTTCAATCAAGACTCAATAGCCATGAGTTTTATCACAGTAAAGGAAATGACTTTAACCGATGATTTAAATCAGTTGGAGCCAACTTTTATGTATACTCAGCTATTCAAGGAAATTCTTCTTGATATGGAATATGGTGAACAGGCCATCAAACAGTTTATTACTTATTGTCGAAAAAATAACAGCTTGTCACCAATCACTATTGACCGTTTTGAGAAAGAATACCAACCTCAGTCAGCTATTTGGTGGTACACTTACCCAACATTCATCTATTCTGAGCTGAACGATGCTCTACGTTCTATGGACGGCGATATCATTATAAATATGGATTTTTTCATTCATGATCTTCACCAACAAATCCAACAACTATACCAACAGCAAGTTAATAGTTATCATGGCAAACCATTCATCGTTTATCGGGGTCAAGGTCTTTTAAAATCAGACTTCAAAAAACTTCAGAAAATACAAGGTGGACTTATGTCATTTAACAATTTCTTATCAACCAGTATAGATAAAGAAATGCCTCTCGCATTTGCTGAAAGTGCTTCGACACGACCGGATATGGTGGGCATTCTCTTTAGCATGTCCATTGATCCTTGTTTAAAATCAACACCGTTTGCCTCCATCAGAGAAGTGAGCTATTTTAACATACCTGACGAAATCCTCTTTTCAATGCACACCATCTTTCGAGTGGGTGCAATTAAACAAATGAATAATAACAATCAACTTTATCAAGTTGAGTTAGAATTAACATCGGATGATGACCAACAACTACGATTACTTACTGATCGGATACGAGAAGAAACTAGTGACAATACTGGATGGCAAAGATTAGGTAAATTATTGTTAAAAATCGGCCAATTTAACAAAGCTGAAGAACTATATAACGTATTACTCGAACAGACATCTGATGAAGGTGAAAAAGCACTTTATTATAATCAGCTTGGATCTGTACACTCGAATCAAGGTGATTATGAAAAAGCTATTTGGTATTACGAAAAAGCACTTGAAATTGAACACAAAGCTTCTCCTTCAAGTCATCCTTCATTGGCTACTTTATATAATAACATCGGCAGTGTGTATAATAAGATGGGAGAATATCCCAAAGCACTTTCATATTACGAAAAAGCATTGGAACTTCAACAAAAAATCCTTCCTTCAAATCATCCTGATTTGGCTATTTCGTACAACAACATCGGTAATGTATATAACAACATAGGAGACTATTCAAAAGTACTTCTGTTTTACGAAAAAGCATTAGAAATTCGACATAAAACCCTCCCTTCGAATCATCCTGATGTGGCTACTTCATACAACAATATCGGCAATGCGTATAATAACATGGGAGACTATTGGCAATCCCTTTCATTTCTCGAAAAAGCACTTGAAATTCAACAAAAAACTCTTCCATCAAATCATCCTTATTTCGCTAGTTCTTATAACAACATTGGTTTCGTGTACGACAGGATGGGGAACTATTCGAAATCACTTCCATTTTACGAAAAAGCACTTGAAATTGAACAAAAAACTCTTCCTTCAAATCATCCTCAGTTGGCGGAGTCATATAACAATATCGGTAATGTGTATGACAACATCGGAGAGTACTCTAAAGCACTTTCATTTTACGAAAAAGCATTAGAAATTCAACAAAAAACACTCCCTTCGCATCATCCTGATTTGACTACTTCATACAACAACATGGGTAATGCGTATAATCAGATGGGAGAGTACTCGAAGTCACTTTCACTTTACGAAAAAGCATTAGACATTCGACAAAAGACCCTTCCTTCGAATCATCCCGATTTGACTACTTCATACAATAACATCGGCAATGTTTATGATAGTATGGGAGAGTACTCGAAAGCACTTTCATTTTACGAAAAAGCATTAGAAATTCAACAAAAAACGCTCCCTTCAAGTCATCCTAATTTGGCTACTTCATACAATAACATCGGTTATGTGTATGACGAGATGGGAGAGTACTCAAAGGCACTTTCATTCTATGAAAAAGCGCTTGAAATTCGAGAAAAAACTCTTCCTTCGAATCATCCTTCATTGGCTAATTCATACAGCAACATCGGCAATGTGTATGATAGCATGGGAGAGTACTCGAAAGCACTTTCATTGTACGAAAAAGCACTGGAAATCTTTAAAAAAACTCTTCCTTCAAGTCATCCCTCATTAGCTACCTCATACAGTAACATCGGTAATGTGTATAACCATATGGAAGAGTACTCAAAATCACTTCCATTTTACGAAAAAGCACTGGAAATTATGCAAAAAATTCTTCCTTCAAATCATTATTTATTGGCTGCTTCATACAACAACATCGGTAATGTGTATAACAATATGGGAGACTATTCGAAAGCACTTCCATTTTATGAAAAAGCACTTGAAATTCTAGAGAAAACTCTTCCTTCAAATCATCCTCATTTGGCTAGTTCTTACAACAACATTGGTTTCGTGTACGACGAGATGGAAGAGTACTCGAAAGCACTTCCATTTTATGAAAAAGCTCTACAAATTGGACAAAAGATCCTTCCTTCAAATCATCCTGATTTGGCTTATTCATACAACAATGTCGGCAATGCATATAACAATATGGGGGACTATTCGAAAGCACTTTCATCTCACGAAAAAGCACTTAAAATTCGAGAAATAACTCTTCCTTCAAATCATCCTTTATTGGCTGCTTCGTACAACAACATCGGTAATGTGTATTATAATATGGGAGAGTACTCGAAATCACTTTCACTTTACGAAAAAGCATTAGAAATTCGACAAGAAACTCTTTCTTCAAATCATCTTGATCTGGCTACTTCATACAACAACATGGGTAATGCGTATAATCAGATGGGAGAACACTCTAAATCACTTCCATTTTACGAAAAAGCATTAGAAATTCAACAAAAAATCCTCCCTTCAAATCATCCTGATTTAACTACTTTACATAACAACATCCGTAATGTGCATAACAATATGGGAGAGCACCCAAAAGCGATTTCAGTTGATGAAAAAGCACTTGAAAGTGAACAAAGTTCTCTTCCTTCAAACCATCCTTCGTTAGCTATTTCATACAGCAACACCGGTTTACTGTATGACAATATGAGAGCGTACGGGAAAGCACTTTCGTATTATGAACCTGCTCTGGACATATTAAAATATGCATTATCTGCAACTCGTCCTCACATAGAAACTGTAAAAAAGAATTTTGAACTTGTAAAAGAAATTATAAAAAATATTTTATAAATAAAAGAATAATTTGCTCACTTAGTTTTGAGTCAATTCGATTTTGTACATGCTCGCGCGCGCCTGCCGAGAATAACTGTAAACAATAAAAATATGATGAACAAAGCCGATTGCTAAGCTAGTACACATACATCGGTATGTGTATAAATGATGTTCTCAAACATATTTACGGGTGTGGGGTGTGAGAGTGGATGATAGCTAAAATCATGTCTTATCCACGCACAACCACACCCACCCTCTTTTCTTCCCATCTGAATAAAGTACTATGATATGTATTTCACAATTCAGAAAAGAGTCAAGAGTGAATATATGTTTTTGCTGATAAATTCGCCTTTCTTTATTATACACTGCCGCTCTATTAGTTGTAAAAAAACTAAATTTTCTTTATTGAAGTCAACAATAATACGTAACAAAGAGTTTCTCCAGGCATGTTTTTATGGTAATAAAGCTTAAATATGCCTTTATCATTGATGAAAAAAATCAGCTCATTTAGTTGAGCCGTAATGGAGGTATTCAATTTTTTTAGGTAAAGTGACTTTTGCGCCAGCCTGTATATACACAGACGCCTATATAATCAGACGCTTACTTTTAGCACGTTTTCTACTTCGTTGAAGCTGTGACATTTTCGCTCAACTCAAAAAGAAAGTGCTCTGCTAAGTATTGCATCCTAACATACTCATTCTAACAAATAAAAATAAAATATATAGAATAGGTCTCAATAGAGAATTATAGTTTGACAAATCAACTATTGTCTTTATGAGTATATCTATCAAAACGTTACAATAATTTTACCATAGCTTTTATACGATAGCCTAAATATATTTCCAAACTCTCTTGTTATTTGAATATACCTGAAATGATATCGATTTTTGAGAAAAGACTTTAAAGAGCTCGTTCGAATCAACTATATTTCTTTAAACAAGATGATTACGTTTATCTTTGAGCCTATTGCAAAATATTACAAGAAAAATTTGAATTTATTACACATCGAGCTAATCGCTAGCACAATATTTTGAAAACCTTTAATAAGTGAATATAAAAGTAATTTTTTTTGAAGTCTTACAGGAAGAAAAGTTGAATTTCCAGCATTGTTTTCCTAAGAAACGTATCTTTGTGTCTGAAATTATAAGAATAATGTAAAAACCATGTGATATATTTTGGAAGATTTAATCAAACGATCATGGTTACAAGAAAACACAAGTTTAATAACATAGATTTCTACAGCTATGATTCCCACTATGAGGTCAAACGAAGATATTCTCTTACTGTTGGTTCACATGTGCTTAGAAAAAAATTTGTCATAAGTGTCGATCAGTTAAAACTGGAATCAATCGAATCGAAGTTGGAATCGTATAAAATCCAATTACAACACGAATGTAGATAGGTAAATAAATGAGATTGATATTTAAAAAAAAACATTTTTTTATAAGTAAATATTTTCATTTTTGATCGATCATATTCAACATGTTCTATTGATTACTACTTTTCTGTTTAATACTTCGTTTTTATTTAATAATATTTTATTTTTGTTAAAGAATTTGTTATTCAAAAAAGAAATTTCTCTATGTTTTCGGACTAATCGTCGTCTTAATGTAGACATAAATCGTACAAGATTAGGTATACGTCATAATCGAAATGTACGTTAAACTGATAAACCACTAATTTTATTTTCTTGTAATTCAATAAGACTGATTAAAACAATTCCACCGTCAAAAATAAAATGATCCTCTATTTAAATTTCTTTGAATTTATGCGATGTTTGATATAATGTATGAGAATAAAAATCTAAGATCAAGTGAAATGAAATGATCTTTTATTTAAATAAAAAATATTTGTGGTTCAATTGTTTAGAGTAGGAAATTGCAATAAAGTTAGATGAATTTTACAATAAGACCTAATTAACATTGATAATCTTAATATGATATATAGGGTGGGTGTGCGGGTGTAGATGTTTTGTTCTTCTCTTACCCACACTCACGCCCTACTAGAACGTTAGTGTAATCAAGTAGAATTAACTTAATTTTATGATTAAACACTCATTTGTATATTTAGATAACTGTTAACATTATTTTCCAAAGTAACAAATCTTGTCTAAACTGTATTTTTTATCGATATAAACAGTTATAATAATACGAACAATTATAAATACTTCAGTTTATTGTAAAAAAAACGACTACACAATAACAGATTAACTGATTGACCTTATTTTATACTTTTTTCTACTGTTAAAATTATTTTCAGACAACTTCTCTTATAATTATCAAAAGAATAATGAAAACAAATACAAATAAAATAACGGTAAAAGGCAAATGAGAAAATAAGACTTGGTAAACAATGAAATGACAAAAAAGTACATTGATGTTGTTACAAATAGTATAGACGATCTATTGATTCTATTATCATATTGTCCGAAACTATTTTCTCTCGGTCTTTTGCTTATTCTACTTCCGATCACAACGGAAACAATATCAAATATTAGTGTTTTAGAAACTGTTTTAGTTATACCAAAGTCAATGATGAAAAAGTGACTAGTTTTTACGGTTGTAAATGAAACTATAACATCCGGTAATCTTAGGCACAGTAATACGGTGCCATATATTGCTTAGTACATCAGTATACGAACCGTATTGTTCAACCTGTGTATCTGATTTTTTAATATATTAATGAGTGTTCGTCGAATAACATTTCAAATTTATCGACTTAACCAGTTGTATCATAAACCATCATCTTATTTTTATTTCGAGACTATATTATGCTTCTCAAAAAGTGACTGTATTTTTTTCAATTAAAATAGTTAATAAGAATAAATTATAATTTTTGTGAATAAACAAACGAGAATCGAGAAAAGTTGTCACCGTACAGAATATTATTCTAACGACTAAAATGATGAATAAATTATACACAAGACTTTTATTATTTCAAAAAATATTTCATTTCTATGGTACTTTATCAAATTCAAAAAATAAAAGTATAAAATTTGAATTTCAACGAATATATTCATTCAATCTTCTAATTGAAATAAAAAAACTAACAAAGAATATTAATTGTATTACGTAAAACTGATATATATTAATTAACGTTTTTTAATCGATGTGTTGACAAATTTGTTCAAAGAATAATTAATGAATTTGTTTTGTTCTTTTTTTGTGATTAATTTATGTTCAAGAAAATAATATTTGACTTAAGTTAATATAAAAAAGAGAAATATATAGAAAATAAAATCATTATTCTTATTTTCATCTTTCTCCAGCAAGTATATTCATACAAAAATATTTCATTTGTTCACAAGGTTATCTATCGCCTAGATGAGTATTTGGCTCATTATAATCGTCATTGGACAAGTATCGGGTAAATAAATACATAGTTTTTCTTAAACTTTATTGAAGTTATTTCTCAACATTGGTTGATCTAAGATAATACAATGAAACCTATTGTTCTTTTTCTAATTTAAAATCATTCTCTAGAAGTTTCAATTAATTAATAATTGAAATTCACTAGAGCCTTATGCTTCATCTGTTTGTTTATTGAGTGACTATTGTTACGACCTTATACACATAACAGCTAAGTGCGAAATTCATTGATTGAACTATTCACATCTTTCTCTTTAATTAAAATCAACGATGATCATATGTGTCACTAAAGCAATGAAAATTAAAAGAATATTTAAAAGATAGTTTTAAGTAATGAAAAGACAAAATCAAGATTATGACTGTTACAGTAATTGGATAATTCTGTATCAGATTACGAAAAATAATCATGTTCATATCTTAATTATTTAGCTCTTTCTTATAATCGGCCGAAATTTTGTTCAAATGCATCATGGTATCCAAATGCTACGACTTTCGCG